TTGCGAAAGAGCGTTGAGTGTTGATGCCTGCGAGTGACCGAGATGAGTTTAAGTTGCCACAATTGACATTCACAGCCCACTCCTGACGCCAACTGCACCCCATGATGTATGCATGTGCGTATGTTGAACTTCTCTCGCACCGCATGTGAGCCGACCGTGCGAATCTCCTTGTCCACTGCACGCTGCTCCGCTTGCCACCGCATCTTGATGATGATTACGCAGCCTGCACCACGTTACCTGTACCACCACTACCTGTACCACGTTACCTGTACCACCACTACCTGTACCACCACTACCTGTACCACGTTACCTGTACCACCACTACCTGCACCACGTTACCTGTACCACCACTACCTGTACCACCACTACCTGTACCACGTTACCTGTACCACCACTACCTGCACCACGTTACCTGTACCACCACTACCTGTACTACGTTACCTGTACCACGTTACCTGCACCACCACTACCTGCACCACCACTACCTGTACCACCACTACCTGTACCACGTTACCTGTACCACCACTACCTGCACCACGTTACCTGCACCACCACTACCTGTACCACCTCTACCTGTACCACCGCTACCTGTACTACCGCTACCTGTTGCGGGGCAGCTCCCCTCATATCGCCACTAAGAGGTGCGATGTGCTCCTGTCGATGTGTGTGGCGAACCGGTAACCGATATTTAAGCGTGCTTTTTCATGCGATTGCGAGGAGTGCAAACCGATATCTTTGAGCAGCTTCCTTTATAACTGAGAGACGAAGGGAGCTGCCAATTAAATTTGATCTCCGGGCGCGGCAGGTGAAACAACGGTGCGCGTCTCTAAGTCCCCCGCGCCTCTGCACACGAAGCGGTCTCAATGGGTATCCACAAGGCAGCTCACGTGTGGTAGGGTGATAAGTGGGTACGCCCAGCTCGTTTATTGTGTCTGGTCAGCATGGAAGAGTAGGCCAAATACCCGCTAGAGCTTCGTCTTGCCGAATGTAGTCGAGGCCCTTTCCAGCAGCAGGGGCGTGAGAAAGCAAATTGCAGGTCTGCGACTTGACCCTTTGTGTGTGTGTACAGTACGTATGTTGAACTTCTTTCGCGCGGTACGTCGTCAAGGGTGCTAATCGGAGGTGCGGGAAACAATGCGAAACGTACCACGTGGTTTGTACGTGGTGATGGGTTGGGGATGTCTTCATCCAGCAGTGGATGGAGCATGTGCAATAATGATAAAGTGAAAATGTATAAATAAAAGCTAAGAGCAGTATAAAACATCTTTCAAAAATGCACAACCCAGCAAAGAATCAATATTGACACGAGACCCCCATTTGGAGAGCCCGTGCCATCGTGTTCCGTCGTCAAGAATGGTGCGCAGAGGTGCGCGTGGGACTTTTGTGAAGAAGATCCATGTCGTATGCTATTATTTAATTTATTTTTTCTTTCTACGTGACTTTACCGAAAGAACCAAAGATTAATTCCTGCAGTCACGAAAGCTCCAAATCAAGTTTGATCCACGATGTTGGCATCCTCCATTGTCCACAGCCAAGGAGCGTGTTGGTCGCTACTGCTTGTGATCTCGCCCCCAGGGGATCATCATCCGACGAACACGGATTTCTGAGGCCACAAATCATCCATAAAGTACGACACAAGCCATAGCGACCGACAGTTTCAGGGTAAACAAAGTGTCTGCAAGATTGGGTGATATTGGACTGGAATCTGACCGGCATGCCGAGCGGGCGGCTCGCTGCCCTGAGCCCGCATTGCTGCTGCGGTGGAGCTGCGCGAAGGGGCCTCATCGGGTGACGGGGACTTCCACTGCTCCCCAAGGACACTTGCAATGGTGTCTTCTGTCCGTGAGTACTGGAATTATTGCACTTCCACTCGATTTGCACTTCATAGCAAGAAGGGCCTGGATGGGTTCGATTCATTGGACCAGTACCGATGAAATCCAGATGTATGTTTTATGGATTTATTTTTACCAGCTTTGTGACAGTTGATAAACTATAGATGCATCGTGTGTATGTCTATACGTCGACGTTTACATGAGATGTGATGGAACCCATACTTGAGCCCAGGCATGTGCTAAGATAATGTTGAGCCCCTTTAATCTCGAGGCAATAGTTACACCGATGCAGTCTGCAGCGCTGGTTAGGCTGCCCATCACACAGCACACGCTGCCATACTCACAGAGGCGGGTCTCCCTTGCCTTCCACGTTTGTATAGAAGCATTTGTGTGGTGTAAAAATGCAACCACTACGATTTTATCGCATTACACATACACACTTCAAGGTTGTACTGGTTCATGGGGTGTGACGGTGCTTGTATAAATATTGTGGTGTGCAGGTGATGACACGTGGACTGAAGTAACTTTTGCACGCAAAAAAAACTCTCCATTCGCGGATTTTTAGTTCGCAAAATTTGATGACAGTATTCGCGATTGCATACTGCATTAGTAAACTGTGCCAGATTAACTTTCGTGCCTTTGTCAGCAATGCCTCACGGGATGAGAACTTGCACTAAATGTGTTGTGTGTCTTGTATCGCGATCGTGGGGTCTCAGCTGAAGTGAGGGGAGGAAGCTAGTCAGAAAAAAAGATGAATTCAACTCAGCAAGTGCCGGTGTCGGATTGCGCCTTCCCCGTGGTGATCGTGCGTCTGCTCATCACCGTAATCACAACAGGTAAATATACAACTTCCAAATGGACAGTATAATTGAATGTTTCATTCTATTCATTTAATATTTTGTTGCACTGTGTTGTGATATATCGGTACTATTACACAATTTAAGTAAGAACATGGATGTTATGTATGTGTAGAGGGGAGGATTCATGTTGTGCACGCACAGCAGCTGGTGTCACACGGCGTGGCTTTGGGCGACTGCCCCCGTGGGCGTCACTTTGTGTGTGTGTGGGGGGGGGGACCTTTGCTCGAGCGCCGCCGCTGCCACGGGGCTCGGGGCGGATCTCCGCGGTGGCCGCGTGGGCCGCGCCCGGAGTCTCGTGGCAGATTCCGCGGTGCCACGGCCGCAGCGGCATCGCGACTGGCGACCGCCGCCGCGGTGAGTACCGGACGAGCTTCTCGCGCCCTGCGCCGCGATGTCGCTTCGCTCGCATCACTCAGAGGGCGCATCAGCCTCCTGTGCTCGTTACTCTTACAGGGGCTCCGTAGAATGCATTCGTATCTTTATTATCTCTTACACATTTCAAGAAACAGCAACTTTATACTATCCAGAATAAAGTGTTTTTGTTGTTGTCAGATCGCGTAAAGATAAATGTGTTGTTAAACCCAATAAAAACTGTTTTATGGATTATATTGGTCGCGAAAGCCAACTCGTGTTAAACGAACGTGATACTCTATTCGACACGCCTCTGGTGAGCTCAACGTACTGCAGCGTATTCTGTTCACAATGTGAAGACATGTCGCTCGATGCATCTTAAGAAATAGACGTGTAATTGCGTCAATTACTATTTCGTTCGCATAAGATAGCATTTGCTCTTGACACAGGTTTCGTAACGGCATTGATTCAACTCATTGTTGTCCACAGTATTTTTTCTCGAAACTTCGTTATGTAATAACTCCTCCTCCTACCCGTGAAGATGTTGCGTTTGAGTGGCAACGCAGTCGCAGCAAGACTCTAGCACTCAGCGCAGTCGTTTGCCTCTTAACTGAGATTCTTAAATATGTTATTGTTAGTTTTAACGTTGTATCAGAAACACTTGATCCGCGCTCTCCAGGTGCCTGGGTGAAAAGTTGGCTATAAGTTGTGCCCGATCCTGGCCAGCTGCCTCCTCTAGCGAGCGCAGTCGTCAAGGTGAGCGCTGCAGTGGCGACTGCTGCGCGAGAGCCGAGCGGGCCGGCAGCACGAGGCCACCGACTCGCCACAAAGGACAACTATCATCATTTTTATTAGAAAATATCACAAATGTACGAGACTCCCCGGCATAACACGCGACATGCGATCATGAAAAACAGCGCGTAAGTCGAATCGCGCTGTACGGAGACGACGTTCCCCATAGACGTGGACCTTATAAGGGGTGCGTTACCTAAGAAAACGAAGTACTGTATTCAGTAATTGCTTTATTTTAACCCTGGATTTACAAAATACATATACATTTAACGCTTTATATTATTAACTTTTCAAAAATTACTTAGGATTTTAATCAATAATAATACAGAAATTAAGTCTGAGAATATTACTCATTACAAAGATTATTACAAAATGAGATTGCTACGCCCAGCCCGTGGGTATTTGGCACGACCATGATGCAGTGACATTTGAGTTCACCTGCGAAATATTTGTTATGATTTAGAATTTGTATAATTAAAAACGACGTTATGTTTAGAAAATGTCAAATCTGCTTTGAGCGCGTAACTGTGAAACGCAAATCGTAAGAGTCAAGTATGTTCCTAAAGGGGGAACTGCGTCACTGCGAATTCGCGTCTATGGGGGACGTTACGCGAGGGTCACCTGAACTGGAATTGGAAGAAAAACATCAAATTCTGAAGATGAAATATGGTCCTCATCCCTCCCGCAAGGCATTGATATATCCTCATTTTAAACCTGCAACGTGGTTGCTAAAAGCGAACAATGTAACAGGTATTGGGCCACACATCAAAGTTATGAAAAGGTACTGTAGCTGCAAATTATTTGTTAAGGCTATACGGGGGATTTTGTCTTTGATTGGATCACGCAGCAGCAGCAACATCGCCCGCTACTGTGACAACTTGGCAAGACCCTCTTTAAAAAGAGTCTCGGGACTCAGCGAGGCTTTCTTCGGTAAAAAAAAAAATCACGAAAATAAATTAAACTTGTTTGAGCAGCCAGTTGCTTTGACTTGAAAACACAACTGGAGTTTGTCGAATCAGAGCTAGCTCATGACCAATACTATCGAATCTAATAAAACTTTAAATAAACACACACAACATAAACTCTATATTTAAAAGTACCCAAGTTCACTGCAGCACAACCTGCTGCGTAGATACCACTAAGTAGAGAAATGCTGCTGCATTACTGTTGTGTTTTACTGTTGTGTGTTACTGTTGTGCGTTACTGTTGTGCGTTACTGTTGTGCGTTGTGGCGGCTTGTCTCGAGTGGGGTCTCTTGTGTTTCAATTTGCCACGTCGTGGCCACTTAGCTGAAATAAAGAAGTGACCAAGTCGCTGAGATTAATAATAAATAATCATGCACGAGTGGAGGAATGAAGTTGACTCGAATGATATCCTGATTTCTAATCTGAGTAACAAATTAAGATTTAACCGGTTTTCAATCATAGCAAGAAGACTGTCTCAGCCCGGTCCTCGATTTGATTTTTCGCTTAAATGTGTGAATTCCAGAACTGAACACAAGGCACAATAAGGGTGCTCCTCAAGCTGGTGTTGGAGAGAAGCAGTACGGTAGGAACGTCATCTTTCAGGGCCTGTTCCCTCAAACAACGTGATGCATGGCTTCTTTTAAGAATTCCGGATGTACATTTTGTAATCTCCTGACACAATGCTGATTGATGGGAATAGTGGATTGTCATAAGTACGAGACGATTATAAGGCAAATGTATGGAGGGATATGGAGCCACGGAGTAAACTGAATGGAAAAGTTGTGGTTACTGAGTCGCATGCCTTGCTTAACACGCTCGGGACTGTGTTCAGCAACATCCTTGACATGTTTATGGTGTTGCTAACTAGTTATGTATTCATATTCTTTGGGTGTTTTGGTAAAGTCACGTAGATAGAAAAAAATAATAACAATAAAATATGTATGCCTTGCTGTGGAGAATCGTTTGCAGCAGACCATACTTTCCCACCTGATGATGGATGCTTGTGTTGCGCCCTGAACGTCGTGATTTATTTTATTTTATACCTATGTGACTTTACCGAGAGAACCAAATAGTATGGATTCCTGCAGTTACGAAAGCTTAAAATCAAGATCTATTTTTATCATTTTATTGTCATTATTTTCTCTACCTACGTGACTTTACCGAAAGACCCAAAGAGTATGGATTCCTGCAGTCACGAAAGCTTGAAGTCAAGATCTAGTTATGTATTATTACAGAGTAACAATGCGTGGTGTTTATGCTCCGAAGGGTGGGAGATAAAAATGATATTGTAACAAAGTCAAAGATATCGTTTCTGCTCCAGTGAACAGTGAGGTGGTGCTCGGCTCTGAACCAGTGGTGGAAATTCCACATTCCTATGGCAACCACTGTTGACTTTGTAAGAATGATGGGCTGAGTCAACCCTAAAGTGGAATTTGAAATTACAAGCTGCACATGTATTTAAGTTATATCATTTAGTATTTGACAATCTCACAAACACAGCCCAATGTAACTTCACTGCTGGATTAAGGCTTCGCCACACCTTTCACATATAAAACATATACGTATTTTAGTCCATCAGTTTATTGGATTTCCAGACTAATATCAAGCAGCATTTGTTGAAAATGCAAACTTGGGTCCAGTTTTGAATTTTTCTTAAACAAATGCTGCTGTGTTACCAGATGTGATTGGTAAGAGCACTCCATCCAAACTCTGGGGCACCGTTCAATGCAACACAAACTCATTATGCCTTGCCGTGGAGAATTGTGGGTAAACCAAAATATGAGCAGAATTCCACTTTTAAATAATCTCGATTGAAAACTCATTTCTTTTGAACTGCTTTTTGTGTCTAGTTTGTTGTCCTCCTGCACATATGATCATCAGGGTTTGCTCTTGTTGTATATGTCGGGTTATGAAAAATTGATAAAAATAATAAAAATTAAATGAAGATTTAAAAAATGCGTAAGTCTAGGAAATATGCTCATTTATGTAAATATGCGCATGAATTATGCTAATCATGGAGCTGATCTTTTTAGTTCATGCGAATGTTTGCGATTATGCTAATGTGGGCAGTTATGATAATTAGGCTTAGCTTCGTTGTCCAGGATCGTATTTATCAATTGGGATACTGCAATTATTCTTGCTTAAACATTAATTGATTATATCTTAGTGTGTTTATGTTATGTTAGGTCTCCAAATTCATATCTCAACGCAGGATACAGTTCTTATAAATAAGATTGTTATGCATGAACTTAGGAAAGAAACACTCAAACACTTCTGTTTTAAGCAATTTTAATTCTAAACAAAAACATGACACTCTAATATGCGAACTCTCATGCTTGGAATTATCCACGGTACCATCGGGGATTACGTTGTTTCACTTTGGCAACCGCACATATAATTAATTCCACCGCGTAACGCGAGCTTAGACGGTGATGGAGAGTCTTTAAAACAGGCATGCGATGATAGTCATACGAAAGGCAATAAAAGCAAATTATACCCCAAGGGCGAAAGTATACGTCAATAGATTCATCGGCAAGATTATATATTTAACGAAATGTCTTGGAACAATGGTGTGCGACGGCGTGCGTGCCCTCTTATGGGAGATTATTGTCTCTGGCTAAGTTTTAATTAATTAGTGGGCAATGTTCTATGACAAAGAAACAGGTTTAACACGATATTCTCTCTCTGTGAGCGTGTAGACTCGTGACGAAGGTTTCATAAGTTTACTTCGTCTCGATGAATCTATTGGTAATTTATGCGATTAGAAAAAAAAACAAAAAACGACTAATGTACTTATAAAACAACGTATTCTTATCACTCGATGAGCCGCGATGCCTTCACGGCCAGCTGATGGTTCCTGCACTTTTATAATTAGTCTTCTTTGATCAATTCTTCGCGTACAGCAGACGCCGAGGTTGGGCATTCCATGTACCAAAATGTAGTTTGTTACCTGCGGAGCGGTGAGCGTGTGAGGGTGGGCGTCATACAAACGGCTTCGTTGCTCCCTGTCTCGCTCGGGGCGCCGTCGGCAGCTGTTTGTCCGCTGCTGGATGACAAGTCGGCGCGACGCTCGCCGTCGTGGTGCGCGATGATCCCGTCGTCAGATAGCGCGCGCAGCTCGTCAGCTGCGCAGGTTCCTCACTCTTGTCTTGGTTCCCAGCTGGTGCTGGTCGGTGTGTGTGTCTGTGTTAAACACACGGCGCTCTCGCTGGCACTGACACTCTTGCTGACGGGCGGCTGGTCAGGCTCGTTCCACTGCTCCGCGCTCTCTGGCGATGGACGATGCTCTCGTTCGTTGCTTGATCGACGTTGGGCGCTTTCCGCTATTTCACGCGGATGATGCTAGAATTTCTCGTCAGCTTATCTCGAACTGCAGTGGCTCTTGTGAGTCGGTGCCCAGAGCAGAATGATTTCGAGCGATACTTCTTCTGATGGCGCTTCTTCTGTGTCGGTGGTGATGATTGTCCGGCGCTGTTGCTGGCGCTCACTCACAAAGGTTGTGAATTGTATTCGCACACCTCTTAAACAACTGTCAAAGCTTAGTACTATACCACTTGTCGCAATCCTTGACTTTGCGAGCGAACACATCAGGGTAAATGTAGCATACAACTTTCAGCGATACTCTTGTCGACTCATGCCGAACCCCGCACTCAACCACGCATCGTCACTTCTCTCTGCGAGACATGACACCCATGGTATGACGGTGCCTGCTCCCTTGCGACGGCACTGCAAGCCTGAGCAAGGCTGAAACAAGACTGACGATTTGTGAGTCGTGTTCGTACTTAGAATTGTATATTCCCTCCCCTCTCTCTGTTCACAAAAGCCCAACTTTGCTTTGATATCGCTTGCTCTGGGGAGCGGGAGTGGTATGTGTGTCCGTGTGTGTGTGTGTTCTGATTTATTGGAAGTTATTCAAACGAAGCAGCTGTCCCAGATTGTCCGTTCAGCCTCTGCAATAATTAACCTGGAAGGAGGGGGGGGGGTCCTTTCTCGTGGTGGGTGTTACTCTTTGTCTCACACAAGCTTTCAAGTTTCCGTTTGGAAGTTAAAATTAAACTCACTTTACCTCTTATAGTTTTGATTGTAAGTGATTCAAGGTATGTTATAGCCGGGTTCACAGTATTTCCATCGAGATTTGATTTTTATGGGGAGATGTTCTTTGCTTGTTTGTGCAAATCTTGCTACCCATGCTGCGGGAAGACAAAGGCGGTTGGGAGGCTCTTTTCCTATGGAGTACATTACATAATTAATAAATGAGGAGTAATGATCCACTGATGTAGATTGTAGCCTGGTTTTTAATTGGAGCGAGTTTGAGGTGTACTTACGATAATGTTCACTTAATCTCGGTCGCTAAGTTTTGGATTTTTTTTATTTAGCTAAACTCGCCCACAAAACCCGTATGTTCGCTTTTCGCCACCCTGCTTGTGGGTACAGCTTTTGAAGCCCGTGTGACAACGCCCCTTCTTCCTCTCCTTTGTACGGGGGGGGGGTCCTTTAAGTATCTTTGATGGTTCATCTCCTACCCTCTGGCCTCGAGTGTGAAAGGCAGCTGTGGTGAGGGTGGGTACTACAACCTGTGTTTGCGCTCCAAGTTACCCCGCGATTAAAAAAATATCATATTTTTGGCATAATTATTCTTAATATGAATTTTGGAAAAAGGGTCACATATACAACACTCTTTACGGAGCGAAAGAAGTTCAACATACATGTGTAGGGAACGAAATAGAGACACGTTCAAGATGTACACATTAGAACAGGTTGTAATAATTCAGAGCAGGTGGCCGAAGGTGTGACATGCGGAGGAGAGGAGAGCACCGTCGAATTAATGGCGGGGAGAGAAAGATGGAAAAGGGGAGCGAGGCCGCCCGTCGGGGCGCTGGCCTGGGGCGAAGTGGACAGAGAGGGGAGCGGAGTGGTGAGGCCACGCTGGTGCTGAACCCATCGCAGAGCTGTGGACATCTACGCCTATGCAAATAAAGACTTACCCTCATCTTCATGGACGTCTCTAAGGAGCTTCTTTACACATGCATAGAGTACACGATATGTTTCATTTTATTACCATGTCATCAATCCTGCTAACAACAGAACGTGTTATCTGCACACAGGTTGAACGCCTGGACAGATCTGCAGCTGCAATGAAGCTGAAAAGAAACGTAGCGACACTGCTTTTAGGACTGCTGCTGTTGCTGTTGTCCGTCGGGTTCACCATATACCATGAGGTCCGTGTTCATTCGAGGATTTATCACATGCGTATATTTGGGGTTTTTAAATATATCAACAAACTGACATAAAATAGATATAGGTTAGATACTATAGACGTGCTCTATGGCATGCTATTTATTGCTATGTGTGATATTTTGGGTTGGACGCTGCCGCTGCTGCTGTGAATGAGCAGCGAGGGGATGATCATGATCATTCTGATGGCTGCGATCCAGACGGCGGGGGAAGTCGTGGAGAATGACGCCCGGCAGCGGGCTGCCCACGGGTGTAGAGAGGAGGAGGAGGTCTCGAGTCGTGGGGAGTTGCCCGTGAGCTGTGGTTCGGGGTCGGGGAGGGAGAGGCGCTGATCTCTCCGCTCTGGGCCTGTTGGCGATGGGAAAGCCGTTGGAGGGAGCGGAGGGCAGCAGGGATGGTTCTAGAATGCACTTGTGGACATTTTGGTGGAATGCTCTTATCAGCCTGGATGACTCCAGCATTATAACGATGTTGCATGTTAGTTTACTTACACGCAGAAATTTGCACGTATTCCGCGCTGTCGTGGTGGATTTGTGGCTAATGGCATCGTTTTAATTTCATTAAAATAACTCTGCGAGTCCATATTTTGGTTGTTTTGTTCTTATGCACTTAACAGACCCGACTGTTCACTACCGCACTCAGAATACTGTACCTCGATTATACTGGAGATGTTTTGGCAGAAACGTTTTTCTTTAAGTGTCTCCATGATCACTTTCCAGGAAGTTATTGAGAGGATCGAGGCACTCACCATGGTGCAACGGAGCCGCGTGACACTCAATGCCTCTGCCACCGAGAGGGCGACGGGTTCCGCGGAAACAACAAGTGCAGCGACGACGGCGGCGGCGGAAAAAATCACGGATTTCTCCTTCGTGACAGCCGCAAACAACAGCGTTGTCGCTGTTGTAAATCCCCAAGCGACGTACAGCATCGGGAGCACGGTGAACGTGGTGGTGCAGATGCACGATGCCGCCAACAGAAGGAAGCGCTCCGGGGGCGACTTCATCCTGGCCAGGATGTACAACGAGCGGCTGCGCGCCGCCTCTGCGGGCGAGGTGGCGGACCACGGGGACGGCTCCTACGGCGTGGCTCTGCGCCTGCTGTGGGCCGGGGACAGCAAGCTGAGCCTCACGCTCGTGCACCCCGCTGAGGCGGTCGCGGTGCTGGACAGGGTCAGGGAGACAATCCCCAACAAAATCGTCTTCCTGGGCACGTTCGTCTCCGGCAAAGTGAAGAAAGTCACCAACTGCAACGTCCACCTCCGCACGGATAAAGAGGTGTGCGATTTGACCGACCCGGCAACCGGAGAGCCGTGGAGTTGTGAAAAGCCGGCGAATATGTCTTGCTCGGCACTGCAGAATTTTAGGTCTTACAACAGACAAAGAAGTTACGTCTCGAAGCAAGAAGAGGCACTCTTTGCAAGGTATAACGCGAGTGAAAACAACGAGCCACTTTCCAGACGACAAGTGTGCGCAGCTGCAGAGCAGCAGGAGGTCATTGTGACCCTGGCTTGGTAATCGTTTTGCAGCATTACTCTTCTGATTGTCTACTGCTCTAATAGGCAGTATTTATTTAAATTAGGATGAAATATAAATAAAATAGCTTGTTTTGTGGAAGGGAGGATGCGAGACATTGATGTTCTGGCCAATTGTGCTGAACGTGAGTGAACGAGTGCGGCAGAGACGGCGCTGCTGCCTCCAACGCTTCGATGTTTTATTGAAGTCGTTTGCCTGGACCACCCCTTGGGAGGGCATGTCTCTGACATGCGTGCACGGTCAATTTGTTAATTCAGTGGATCACAAATGATTAAAAAAACATTCCAGTAAAGTAACCGAAACGTGAAAGAAACTAAACATCAGATAAGTTGTTTGGTCTAATTATAACAATATTTTTATGTTTAGCATGGAGTACGGTATCGGTTTTACATTTCACATAGCTTACCTGGGAGCTGATTTTTCTTAAATATGAAGTGGTTAGGCTTAATCACATATGGCTGTAGAAACCAAGGATATGGAGAGAGTAACAGATTTGGTGTATTTTACGTAGAATAACGTACACAATGTAATGCATATAAGACACACGATTGCGTAAATATTTGATAGACTCGTGTTAAGAGATGGACGATCGAGTCGGAGCAATGTCTGTTTCTTCTGTCCAGGTCAGGGCTGGATTTTAACAAAGCAACCTTGAAACCAAACTTCTGTCGTCTGAATGTAGTTGCACGAGTTGGACAAAATTTTAGGATAAGCAGTACGTTTAGGACAATCTGTACGTTCAGAATAGAATGGAACGGAAAACATTGTGAATTCATATTCTTGGTTCTTTCGGTAAAGTCAGGTAGAAGGGAAACAATAAAATAATAAAAATATAAAACAATACAATTCTCACGACGTTTCGACTGCAACACAAGCAATCATCATCAAGTGTTGCTTGTGTTGCAGTCGAAACGTCGTGAGAATTTTATTGTTTTATATTTTTATTATTTTATTGTTTCCCTTCTACGTGACTTTACCGAAACAACCAAGAATATGTATCCCTGCAGTCACGAAAGCTTTAAATCAAAATTGCGAATTAAATCGGAGAGACGCTTTTGGAAGGTGGGACGCATTGTGCAGGGTGGATGAGTGCAGTCACGTGGGCAATGGGCGTTCAAATGTTAGCGACCAAGTGGAAGACCGAGAGCCAGATGATGTCGATTAACTAAACAATTTATTTTATTTGACCAGGTAAGGTCTACTGAGCTACATAGCTCTTTTTCAGAAGCGACCTGGCCACAAATGAGAGCTCAACCACGGGGAGAACATGCAAACTTCAAAGATACAGGTGTTAGGGTCGGGATGGAACCCACGCCCTCCTGTATGCGGGCGAGGTAGTTAACAACTCCTCGCCACTGTGGTAAAGCAGACAGCGGAGGTTGTGTCGACTGCATTCTGAGTGTACAGATGCGTAATTGTATCAATGCGTGGGTCCATATGCAGGCTTATGTGAGCTGTGTTCTAATAGAATATCCAGGGTTTAACATTGACCACAAGTATTCTCTGGTACCACACAATGCGAAATCGTCATGTATAGTTTACAAAATTTGAAAGCTATACTTGTAAAAAATATTGCATTGTGAGCATATTAAATACTTGAGTAATTATTAACAACCTTTTTATTTTTATTACAGGGGTCGACTATATGTGCCATTAAATGTAAATTACACAGTGACAACTCACCCGCCGAACAGTGAGTGCTTTCTCAAACATATTTCCACTGTCGTTTGCGATGCTGCCACCGCGGTGTAGCGGCCATCGCACTGGACTCGCAATTCAGATGTAGCCGGTTCGACCTCCCAGTGCGGCAGTTAAAACGGTGGCAAGTTTCTTAAATCCCCCGCGCCACTCTCCACCCAGCGGTGTGAATGGGTTCACCACAGCCGGCCTTATCGGCAGGTCTCATCTGGCGGGGACGAGACATCTTGCCCGCATGGAAAATGAGGACAAATACGCTCCAGAGGGCCTCGAAGAGCTCCCGCATAGAGTCCCTTCTGCCAGCGAGCGGTTGCACGCCTGCAACTTCGCCACTTTCTCGGTCGTGTAAAAAGGCAGTGATCACCAACTCTAATGGCTGTGTAGAATATATCGACGGTATTGTCTTACTGAGTTCATCATTGGGCCCACAATTTCCACCGTTTTTCATGTCCAAAATAATTGGATCGCATAGTATTATGGGTAATATAGTATGGTATATACAATGAAAAAATGGCAGAGATAAGTAAAGTACTCTAGTGATAAATCAAATATAACAAGACAGACTTTATATGCGTGATTCAATTATATAACGTACTACGCGGAGCCCTGGGGGTATGTGGCAATGTTCCAGGCGGTACATGACGTAATTTATGAATGTGTTCAATTATATCATACATGAGTCATTGGTGAATGATCATGTATGAACCTGCCAAAATAAAATAACGAGGATAAAATGTAAATCCATACAGTAACCTAGAAAGATATGAGACCTTTATAAACTCATTGATCATAAACAATGCGGTTTCCAAGAGTGCAGAGCATCCATTCATTGTTTTTATTCGCTTGCAGTTACGAGCTAGTTCGGGATACCTCACAAAACGAACAATTGGTTCAAATATTTATTTTGATTTGAAGCTTTCGTGACTGCAGGAATCCATACTATTTGCTTCTTTCGGTAAAGTCACGTAGGTTTGAATCTTTCTACCTTCGTGACTTTACCGAAAGAACCAAAGAGTATAAAATAATGATGTTCATTATTCTTGCATTTTATTTGGTGGGTCAGGCAAGGGGGTACTCTGTTGAAACTAAATTCAACAGTGGGTACAGTAGCAAAGAAAGGTTGACTCACTGCTGTCGATCAGTATCACCCATGATCAATCCACTGCTGGATGAAGGCCTCCCCAAATGACTGCCACTTCTCGATCGTGTGATGGAACAATTCATCCAGCACCTGCACAATAACCGATGTCGTTGTTCCATTGGTGGCCATCCCCTCGAGTTCCATCCACTCGCTGCCACGCCACCATTCTTGCCCATCGTCCATTATCCTTTCTCATTCTCCTCGCCGTGACGCGGCCTTCCCAAGTACTCTCATTTATCTTCATAGTCTGGATGATGTCATTAATCTGCGTGCGTTCTAATTCCTGTGCTCCTCTTTCTTTCTCTCCATGTAATTTCAAGCGTGCTACTCTCCATGCGACTTTGTGCTCTTTTCAGTATTTGTTCTGTACGGTAGTACGCAACGACTAAAACCATTCTTCTTTACGCAAGTTACTATTATTCATGATCAAGTGAACATTGCGTGCATACACAGTATTATATTCACTCGTCTGATTTTCACCATGATTGATATTTGACGTTTTCATTCTGATGAACTCCAGACACGGCAGAACAGAAGTTGCCGCCCTGCACAGCGGGACTGGGTAATCCCAGCCCCAGCGGATTCTTCTGGAACGGTGCGTGGAACTCGAGCTACTGTGCCATGCGGCGCTTTGACACTCCACAGCAAGTGACCGAGTGCCTGAAGGAGAAGCATATCTACTTCCTCGGCGACTCCACCATCCGCCAGTGGTGGGAATACCTCGTTAGTTTCACCAAAGGTCAGCAGCACGACACGCTTCTTGGGAATTTTTTGTTTTCACGTTCATAATCTTGGTTATATTTGTCGAGTGACTTCCATCAAGGCGCTTGACATAGCTTACAAGTCGCGGACAAAAACGATGCACCCACGATCACATGCATGTGTAGTGATGCACTTCACGAACACTAGAATGGGAGGCACTGTTTATTGAGGCCCTCACAGGCACAGGGAATAACTACACTTGGTCAGGACAGCAACAGGCTGCCTGACCAACAACGCTGAAGATGACGACCATGACTTGCGTAGCTCCACAGGGTTCCACTCCAACAGCAACCCCGAGTTCTCCACGGGGTCCCCCTTTTATCTCCCAGCGCAGCCTTGCTTCCCTCTCGGCCACGCCCCCCTTCCAGAACCTACCAGAAGGTCTTATCTTATCTTAAAAAATTCTACCAGAAGGTCTCGGGCTTCCTCTCACGTACCCCCTCTGTCACCTTATCCCCGCATCCTCTTCCTCCCGCCCATTCCCTCCCCTGCTGGCCGACCGGGCTGCGACAGCAGCAGGTCCCCCTTTTTTCCAGAAACCCGCGCTACCCTCCGTAGTGATCCATTCCATGTCACTGCACATGTAACGTCCTATTACAATCCCACGGAAAGATGTTATCTCAGCGGTGGCACTATGGCTCGCATACTGCGCTTTTAAGGGATCCTGGCCACCTGAGTTAGATTCCCAGCCGCTGCTCACATTTGAGGTGATATCTGACCCAGTCCTGGGTGACCCCTCCACCCACCCAGCCACCCTCATCATTCTACACTGGCACTGAGGTCAAACAGCCCCGATGACCAACATGGCATGAGGAACCTTCCATTCCTTTACATATACAGTATCTGTAAGTGATCTGCAACTAATAATAGTACACGTGGCAATTGCACTGGGCATGTGTACGACACGGACCATTTAAAGTAAAGGACTGTAGAATATGCTGTCCCTGACGTAATTAAATACGAGAAGTGCCATCAAGTTGGGCAAATTGCCCCATTGACCCAATACTGAGCTGCATGCATACCTGTTAGCAGCAATGCGCACAGTATTTCACGATGGAATTAATTTCAAGCAACCTTCACGTTGCAGCCATGTTCATTATCATTTACACTTGAATCATGTAATTTCCCGTTTATCTTTTGTCTAGAAAACTTACACCTTAAACACATGCGAATAGGCAGATACATGTGCAAAGATGACTGGAAAAGACTTATGAAAAGATGGCATGTTCAGTAAAACATCCTCTTACAATTTCTTGTGAAGCTGTAGATTGGAGATTATTCTCAGATGTATTTCTCTTCCTCCATCATCCTTCCTGCATAAGCCATCATATAGGTTTGTGCAATATTTAATTATTTATAAAATATTTATTGGGCTGTTTACTTTCTCTCTTCATGCGTTTATATTCTTAAAATTAATTTTGCAGTTTTAAAACATCGTATTATATCTCACAAAATCTAACGTTGTGAATGTGTACCATGCTATGTGTAAACAATCTGAGACACGGTGTGTTCTTTTTTACAACTGGCGCTTACTCGCTTTTTCTGCTTTTCAGGTTTCAAATATTTTGACGTTCACAAACATGGCAAACAGCAGCCAAAAATCGCTTTTGATGATAAAAATAAAATTATCCTGCAGTGGAACTGCCACGGATACCCATTCATAACACAGTCTCTAACCTTCTCGAGAGACGTGCAATACATCGCGAAGCAGCTGGACGACATAACTGGAGGCAAGAACACCGTAATCGGACTGTCTCTTGGAGCCCACTTCACAGCTTTCCCTCTGGCGGTGTTCGAGAGAAGGATGAGGAACATCGCTGCCTCAGTGGAGAAGCTGCTGAGCCAGAGTCCAGACACTAAAGTCATCGTGAAGCTGGCCAACACGAGAGATGTTGGCACCGTGCAGTTATTTAATAACTGGAACACGTACAGGCTTGTACAAATTACACTCGATGTGTTCAAACATCTAAATGTGGCATTTGTCGACGCGTGGGAAATGACGGCTGTTGTCAACTCCCTCAGCATACACCCCACGACAGGCATTGTAAAAGAACAGTTGAATGTGTTCTTATCATTTGTTTGTTAGTTTTTACGTGGCTCGCTTAAGTCATACCACTATTCAACTGAACTATTACACGTTTGAACATCTGCGGGCATTGTACGTTTTTGCTCACTTATGGATTGACGCTCTTCTCCAAACGAGGCAGTGTTTTAATAAGTGCAGCGACGTGAATGGGAGTGTCACTGCAGTGAAGCGACATGAATGGGAGTGTCACTGCAGTGCAGCGACATGAATGGGAGTGTCACTGCAGTGCAGCGACGTGAATGGGAGTGTCACTGCAGTGCAGCGACATGAATGGGAGTGTCACTGCAGTGCAGCGACGTGAATGGGAGTGTCACTGCGGTGTAGCGACGTGAATGGGAGTGTCACTGCAGTGTAGCGACGTGAATGGGAGTGTCACTGCGGTGTAGCGACGTGAATGGGAGTGTCACTGCAGTGCAGCGACGTGAATGGGAGTGTCACTGCGGTGTAGCGACATGAATGGGAGTGTCACTGCAGTGCAGCGACGTGAATGGGAGTGTCACTGCGGTGTAGCGACGTGAATGGGAGTGTCACTGCAGTGCAGCGACGTGAATGGGAGTGTCACTGCGGTGTAGCGACGTGAATGGGAGTGTCACTGCAGTGCAGCGACATGAATGGGAGTGTCACTGCAGTGCAGCGACGTGAATGGGAGTGTCACTGCGGTGTAGCGACGTGAATGGGAGTGTCACTGCAGTGCAGCGACGTGAATGGGAGTGTCACTGCAGTGTAGCGACGTGAATGGGAGTGTCACTGCGGTGTAGCGACGTGAATGGGAGTGTCACTGCGGTGTAGCGACGTGAATGGGAGTGTCACTGCGGTGTAGCGACATGAATGGGAGTGTCACTGCAGTGTAGCGACATGAATGAGAGTGTCACTGCAGTGCAGCGACGTGAATGGGAGTGTCACTGCAGTGTAGCGACGTGAATGGGAGTGTCACTGCAGTGCAGCGACGTGAATGGGAGTGTCACTGCGGTGTAGCGACGTGAATGGGAGTGTCACTGCAGTGCAGCGATGTGAATGGGAGTGTCACTGCGGTGTAGCGACGTGAATGGGAGTGTCACTGCAGTGCAGCGACGTGAATGGGAGTGTCACTGCGGTGTAGCGACGTGAATGGGAGTGTCACTGCAGTGCAGCGACATGAATGGGAGTGTCACTGCAGTGCAGCGACGTGAATGGGAGTGTCGCTGCGGTGTAGCGACGTGAATGGGAGTGTCACTGCAGTGCAGCGACGTGAATGGGAGTGTCACTGCAGTGTAGCGACGTGAATGGGAGTGTCACTGCGGTGTAGCGACGTGAATGGGAGTGTCACTGCGGTGTAGCGACGTGAATGGGAGTGTCACTGCGGTGTAGCGACATGAATGGGAGTGTCACTGCAGTGTAGCGACATGAATGAGAGTGTCACTGCAGTGCAGCGACGTGAATGGGAGTGTCACTGCAGTGTAGCGACATGAATGAGAGTGTCACTGCAGTGCAGCGACATGAATGAGAGTGTCACTACAGTGCAGCGACGTGAATGGGAGTGTCACTGCAGTGTAGCAACATGAATGGGAGTGTCACTGCAGTGTAGCGACATGAATGGGAGTGTCACTGCAGTGCAGCGACATGAATGGGAGTGTCACTGCAATGCAGCGACGTGAATGGGAGTGTCACTGCAGTGCAGCGACATGAATGGGAGTGTCACTGCAGTGCAGCGACGTGAATGGGAGTGTCACTGCAGTGCAGCGACGTGAATGGGAGTGTCACTGCAGTGCAGCGACGTGAATGGGAGTGTCACTGCAGTGCAGCGACATGAATGGGAGTGTCACTGCAGTGCAGCACATGAATGGGAGTGTCACTGCAGTGCAGCGACGTGAATGGGAGTGGCACTGCAGTGCAGCGACATGAATGGGAGTGTCACTGCAGTGCAGCGACATGAATGGGAGTGTCACTGCAGTGCAGCGACATGAATGGGAGTGTCACTGCAGTGCAGCGACATGAATGGGAGTGTCACTGCAGTGTAGCGACATGAATGGGAGTGTCACTGCAGTGCAGCGACGTGAATGGGAGTGTCACTGCAGTGCAGCGACATGAATGGGAGTGTCACTGCAGTGCAGCGACATGAATGGGAGTGTCACTGCAGTGCAGCGACATGAATGGGAGTGGCACTGCAGTGCAGCGACATGAATGGGAGTGTCACTGCAGTGCAGCGACGTGAATGGGAGTGTCACTGCAGTGTAGCGACATGAATGGGAGTGTCACTGCAGTGCAGCGACATGAATGGGAGTGTCACTGCAGTGCAGCGACGTGAATGGGAGTGTCACTGCAGTGCAGCGACGTGAATGGGAGTGTCACTGCAGTGCAGCGACATGAATGGGAGTGTCACTGCAGTGTAGCGACGTGAATGGGAGTGTCACTGCAGTGCAGCGACATGAATGGGAGTGTCACTGCAGTGTAGCGACGTGAATGGGAGTGTCACTGCAGTGCAGCGACATGAATGGGAGTGTCACTGCAGTGTAGCGACGTGAATGGGAGTGTCACTGCAGTGTAGCGACGTGAATGGGAGTGTCACTGCAGTGTAGCGACATGAATGGGAGTGTCACTGCAGTGTAGCGACGTGAATGGGAGTGTCACTGCAGTGCAGCGACATGAATGGGAGTGTCACTGCAGTGTAGCGACGTGAATGGGAGTGTCACTGCAGTGTAGCGACGTGAATGGGAGTGTCACTGCAGTGCAGCGACATGAATGGGAGTGTCACTGCAGTGTAGCGACATGAATGGGAGTGTCACTGCAGTGTAGCGACATGAATGGGAGTGTCACTGCAGTGCAGCGACGTGAATGGGAGTGTCACTGCAGTGCAGCGACGTGAATAGTGAGTGTCACTGCAGTGTAGCGACATGAATGGGAGTGTCACTGCAGTGTAGCGACATGAATGGGAGTGTCACTGCAGTGCAGCGACGTGAATGGGAGTGTCACTGCAGTGCAGCGACGTGAATGGGAGTGTCACTGCAGTGTAGCGACGTGAATGGGAGTGTCACTGCAGTGTAGCGACATGAATGGGAGTGTCACTGCAGTGCAGCGACGTGAATGGGAGTGTCACTGCAGTGTAGCGACGTGAATGGGAGTGTCACTGCAGTTACATCGACGTGAATGGGAGTGTCACTGCAGTGTAGCGACGTGAATGGGAGTGTCACTGCAGTGTAGCGACATGAATGGGAGTGTCACTGCAGTGCAGCGACGTGAATGGGAGTGTCACTGCAGTGTAGCGACGTGAATGGGAGTGTCACTGCAGTGCAGCGACATGAATGGGAGTGTCACTGCAGTGTAGCGACGTGAATGGGAGTGTCACTGCAGTGCAGCGACATGAATGGGAGTGTCACTGCAGTGCAGCGACGTGAATGGGAGTGTCACTGCAGTGCAGCGACATGAATGGGAGTGTCACTGCAGTGTTGCGACGTGAATGGGAGTGTCACTGCAGTGCAGCGACATGAATGGGAGTGTCACTGCAGTGCAGCGACGTGAATGGGAGTGTCACTGCAGTGCAGCGACATGAATGGGAGTGTCACTGCAGTGCAGCGACGTGAATGGGAGTGTCACTGCAGTGCAGCGACATGAATGGGAGTGTCACTGCAGTGTAGCGACGTGAATGGGAGTGTCACTGCAGTGCAGCGACGTGAATGGGAGTGTCACTGCAGTGTAGCGACATGAATGGGAGTGTCACTGCAGTGTAGCGACATGAATGGGAGTGTCACTGCAGTGCAGCGACGTGAATGGGAGTGTCACTGCAGTGCAGCGACGTGAATGGGAGTGTCACTGCAGTGTAGCGACGTGAATGGGAGTGTCACTGCAGTGTAGCGACATGAATGGGAGTGTCACTGCAGTGCAGCGACGTGAATGGGAGTGTCACTGCAGTGTAGCGACGTGAATGGGAGTGTCACTGCAGTGCAGCGACGTGAATGGGAGTGTCACTGCAGTGTAGCGACGTGAATGGGAGTGTCACTGCAGTGTAGCGACATGAATGGGAGTGTCACTGCAGTGCAGCGACGTGAATGGGAGTGTCACTGCAGTGTAGCGACGTGAATGGGAGTGTCACTGCAGTGCAGCGACATGAATGGGAGTGTCACTGCAGTGTAGCGACGTGAATGGGAGTGTCACTGCAGTGCAGCGACATGAATGGGAGTGTCACTGCAGTGTAGCGACGTGAATGGGAGTGTCACTGCAGTGCAGCGACATGAATGGGAGTGTCACTGCAGTGTAGCGACGTGAATGGGAGTGTCACTGCAGTGCAGCGACATGAATGGGAGTGTCACTGCAGTGCAGCGACGTGAATGGGAGTGTCACTGCAGTGCAGCGACATGAATGGGAGTGTCACTGCAGTGCAGCGACGTGAATGGGAGTGTCACTGCAGTGCAGCGACATGAATGGGAGTGTCACTGCAGTGTAGCGACGTGAATGGGAGTGTCACTGCAGTGCAGCGACGTGAATGGGAGTGTCACTGCAGTGTAGCGACATGAATGGGAGTGTCACTGCAGTGCAGCGACGTGAATGGGAGTGTCACTGCAGTGCAGCGACGTGAATGGGAGTGTCACTGCAGTGTAGCGACATGAATGGGAGTGTCACTGCAGTGCAGCGACATGAATGGGAGTGTCACTGCAGTGCAGCGACATGAATGGGAGTGTCACTGCAGTGCAGCGACGTGAATGGGAGTGTCACTGCAGTGCAGCGACGTGAATGGGAGTGTCACTGCAGTGCAGCGACGTGAATGGGAGTGTCACTGCAGTGCAGCGACGTGAATGGGAGTGTCACTGCAGTGCAGCGACATGAATGGGAGTGTCACTGCAGTGTAGCGACAGTACCGAGGGAAGAGGGGTACCTGTACGCAGGGTGCTGTTCCTGGCTGGCCCTGGGTCACCTCGGGTCATTCGCCCCCACTCTCCACGTGCATCCCCTCCAACATTAGTAGTAGACTCCCTTGGCACACCACGGCCCTCACACGCACCGCCACTCAAACGCGACGTCTCCGCTCTCACGACCGCGCGCACCAATCACACGCGCGGGATGGGAGGTCAGGGGTCAAGGGGCAGTGACGTCGCTCGTACACGCGCGGCTGCCGTGGGCGGGTAATAGCGCTCGTTTAAAGGGCCGCGGGGGTGTCCGTGGGGTGTCCGCGGGGGTGTCCGTGGGGGCGGTGGGTGTCCGTCCGCACGCAGCACGCGAGCGCGCAGCCACCGGACGGAGCGTGCACCCGCGGAAGCACCGGCCACACTCGTGACGGCGAGCGCACACACACCCCACCACGCACTTTCCTCGCGCTCGTGAAAATCACACGAGGCTCTTTATCGATCGCTTACTATTTATTTCCGGCGCGTCTGCGAGATACTCTCACCCGGGTCAGCCTGGGTCAGCAGGGCAGGTCTAGGTTAGCCCCGGCCGTCTAAACCCGATTTCCCTCGCCTCCTTGAAATTAGCCTCCTTCCAATGTTACTTTAAATTCCCACTCTCCCTCACGTACTCACGGTTCACCTCGGATGTGTGGGGAGCTGCGGAGGGGTGAGGTTGCACGGAGTCCTCCTGGGGCCTGGCTAGGTGACTACCCCGATCTCCACTCGAGCAGAAGAGAGCCTCTTTCACTCTCCGTGCCCCTTTTATTGTCTTCTACATCACAGATAATTCGGCGCCGACCCGCCGGCCAATCAGGTCGCTGGGATTTCCCGCCGCGGGTCGTGGCTTTTCAGCTACGTCCGCGCCCCGGTTTGCTGCCGAGCGCCCGACCAATCAGAGGGACGGCCCCGTTTTCCCGCCGTTCGTGGCTCCGCCCCCCCCCCTGCCTGCCGACCCCGTGGGTGTGCTCGTGTTTCCTATCCGCGGTGGCTGCGTAGCCTCGTCGTGCGCGTGTTTGTGTTGGGGGTTGGTGAGGGGGTCGTAGGTGGGGCGCCCGCAGAGCGGCTTCGCGGCTGCGGCATCACAACTGCACCAGGGGCTCACGAGAGGGCAGGGTCCAGGTGCCACGGAGGTCGGGTCAGGGCATGATAGCCTGCGTGAACCCGCGAGAGCACGTGACCGGACGAGGGGGCACGTGGTGTGGACCGAGAGCCTCCACGAAGGATCTAAAAAGGGGCGTGGCCAGGGGCGGAGCCCGGTCACGTGACAAGCCCAGTCCCGACAGGGAGCGGGGGGGGGCTGTTCGACCCGGGCTTGAAGCCGCCTGCTTCGATCCTCGCACACGAGGGCCAGGCAGCGCGTTAGCTTTCCTGGTCCAACCACATCGTGGTTAGGAGCGATGGCCACCACCCTATGTAGTTAACCCATAATGTACAAAGTTAACCCGTGATGTACAAAGTTAGCCTCGGAGCATTGCGCCTTTATCTGTTATGTTAGCCGGTTCGAGTTTTGTTAGTAAATAAACCAGGGGCGGTTTCTTCATTAGGGCGATTGGGCGACGCACCACCAATGTCATTGAACCACAGAGTCACGCTAGCCGTCACTGCAGCCTTTGGATATAGTCCAATCAGCGTCATGTCACGTTCTGTGGAGTACCGCCTCTTTTTGGGCGATTTCACTCTGGCTGAGAATCGCCCCGAGTGGCCCCATAGAGTTACATTCAAAGATGTTTTTTTTCGACCGGGGGGCGCTCCAATGCATTCTCTATGGCTTCCGGGAGGGCTCGCCCTAACGTGCTTACGTCATCATACGTAAGCACGTTTCATCCAACAATATAATTTGTGGCCACCTAGTGGAATCTTTAATAAAATAAACTTGAGTGGTTTGTTTTAATAGTGAGTATAGAAACAAACAAGATGTATTGTAAGTCACTTTATTTTTCATTAATATTAAAGAAGTGAAGTTGCCTTTACATGCTTAAGCTGTTAATTTATCCATTGCATTGGTGGACCTTATCCTTATCAATCATCCAGACATTTGCCCCCCCTGAGAGATTTTGCAGGAGCCGCCACTGAAATAAACGTGTTGCCTCCAAGACTTGGTGTACGCCTATTTAGAACCCACTGCACAAGGATTATATTTTATAGTTTGGTATGGACCCAGTTCGTCTGCTGCGTGGATTAAAGTTTGTCTCAAAGACTTGCACTCACTTCAACAGCCATTCCGTGTCGTTAACATGTTGTGTAGCCCTCACTCTCCCCATTAAACCCTTCTCGAGAATGCGCGTGTGTGGTGAACAGACGTGTTTATGAGTGTGTGGGTGTATGTTGAATGCAGGTGCACACATGCAAGTGCATGTGAGAAAATGTCGACACAAATATGTGCGTGTCATTTGCTGTGATGTTAGGGGTCTTATATCTAAGAAAACAGTCGGTAAAAGAGAAAAACCCCGTGTATAGACTGCATCCCTGGAACCCCCTTCTCCACTCCTCCTGTTCCCCCGACTCAGGTGAGACATAGGTGGTCCCATTGACCTCACCCCCCTCCTGCGGGTGGCAATGTAATATCTGAGAGTTGTGCGCACAGCCGGCCTCGTTCTGTTGGAGACCGCCGGACTGGTGTCCCGGATGATTGTGAAAGCAGCAGACCTGTGTGAAGGAGAGACTGGGGAGTGGGCGACTCGGGCAGTTCACCATTGACTGATGAGCAGGTGAATCATTACATGTGTAGTGGTTTAACGGGCCAAGGGGGGAAATTGCACACACGTGCGTGTGGGGTATAGTGGGGGCATATCTAGGCACGCAGCTGGCCGGATGAATGTGGCTGGAATGTGCTGCGTTAGTGAAAATAAAGTGACGACAGAAAAGCAAGAAGTTGTCCGTGTAAAAGTACAGCACTACACATGTAACAACCCTGCATCATCCTCCGACTGTGCCCGCTCCTTGACCTCGCATTCATGAAATTCACGACTTTCTGGAAGGGACAAACTCCCCCCCTTGAAGATAAAACATAACTATGTACCCATATCACTGACATTCCCTTTTCTAAATTAACTGGTTTTATGAAACCATCACGTCAAATGGTGTCTGTATTTTAATAAAAAATTCTAAGTTCTGCCTGTGTGGTATTGTTCAAAAGTGAAGTTACCCGAATATAATTATTGTAGATTCAAATACTGCGACGCAACGAGTAAAAAACGACTAAAACATTTCAACTTTACATGACCCACCAGAGGTGGAACCCTTAAAGGAAATTTAAAAGTTTCTGTTTTAGATTGCAGGTGCATGTGGAGGATGAAGGGAATGTTATTTGAAGACATGGTAACCAAATTTGGAAGTTGGGAATAAAATGTGATGAGCATTGTAAATATAATAGCAATGAGGTTGATAGGTAAGGCACGTGGTACAGCAACCCAGATATTGGGATACGTTTGAGCTATCCTTGGAGGTCAGGTGTTGACCCGCAACAGCTGAGAGGTGCAGTAAGAAATCAAATGCGAAGGCATTGATGTGTGCTTGGCTTGTTTTGTTTACGCATGAGCACTATCCCACCTCGCCAACAAGATACAAAATGTAGATTTTCCAATCGTTTTTATTTGGGTATGGTGTGGAAAATTCATGACATCTGATAAATATTAAAAATCTAGACAGCAAAACCAATCATTAGTAAAAACTCAATTGCATTGTAAGAACTACAGATTTCCTGTTTGATTACGATTCATTGGACAACCACCCACTAAGTGGTACTCACTTTATTGAGCCAAGAGGTGGGGGATGATGGTCCAAGTCAATCCAAGTCAATCCCCAACTAAGATTTGAACTTGCAATCTTCCGATTACAAATTGCGCACGTGATAGCTGGTTGCTTTATTACGATTAATCGAGTTATCCAAGTTGACCCCCAGTTGTCATCAAAAAGCCACGCCCGTGCTTTTATCTGACTTGGACACTCACGAATGATTACTATTACACTTTCTTACCCAGGAATGCATCAATCAAGGCACTTTTTCAGGAGGATCCTGCCAACTTATTCCAGTAGGAGGCTAACGTCTATACGGAAAAAACAATCATTTGTGCACTGTCAATAATACACGAACGTCTGTAAATTGTAGTTGGATTATTGGTGGATCACGACTCCTCCCATGATCGGCGAGATACGGCACCGGATACTTTGCCGGTTCGCAAACCACGATCCGCAGGGAGGGGCTAATGTGGAGCTGGACAGAGATCGCGCCTGGGGAAATGCAGGGATAAGATTGTGTTTTTGTTCATGTGGCATAGACTAACTCTGCCAACATGATTTGTTTAGTTTATCAAGAGACGCGCATAGCATAATTGCGCCATATGGATCTTCGAAATTCTTATCACCTAGTCGTGTGCTGCACTTTCTCAGGAATTGGCAAGGTATTTGCGGATTAATAAAATCGCTGCGGCCAATTCTCCCATAATCCGTGGCACTCTGGGTCAGCGTAAATATTCTTTGTGAAGATTATAAGTCTGACCGAGGCGCTGCAGCACGGATTACCGGGTCTGCAATATAGCCTTGCTCCCCATTTCAACACAGATTATTGGAGTTCTAATCTCATGGGTCGTCTTGTGCAACTGGTTTGAATTTTCCAGTCCTCTCCATGCACCAACAACCAATGAGGGGTTGCTCATGTCCACTGGTGGCCCCAGAGGATGGGACGCGTTAACCTCCACCCGAGATTTGAATTTACAAACCCATTCAGCTGCATACTCTAATCACAGCACCACATTTCTGGATATCCATATACCCAGACGATATATAGATCAGCAATGCGTTAAGGTGCACATTTAAACACATTCGTAAACCAGGTCCTGCATTGATAATTCATGTAGAAACATCTGAACATTTTCATAACTGGCTGCTGCTTAGGAAGGCCAATTTATCCTCACAATGGGAAGAGGCATGTTTCATTCATTTCCAAGTCGTGTTGGTGATCACTGTGACCTCGTGTGAGGAAGAGAATCTCACTTCTCTTGTCCTTCCCCCGCACCTCCGAGTAGCACGGTTGGCTACGAACTGTGCAAAAGGCGTTCAACATGCGCACGTATGCGCACCAGAGAGGCAGAGAGCAGGGCCACTTGTAAAAGGGATTTCCCTCGATGGCAGTGCACAAGCAGGGCATGGAGCACTAGCCCTGCTTGCTGTGCTGCCTGGGCGAGATCTTGTTGCGCAGAGACAGGAGGTCCCAGTAGATGTTGCGGTTGAGCACACGCCATGCGCACAGCAGACCTCCGAACATGGCTCCCGTAAATCCTGCGGTCAACACATCCTGGCCTGGGGTGGGGCAGCATGGAGAGCAGAGAACACAGGGGGATGTCATGGAAGCATACCACCGGCAGGATAAGAGAGATGTGTGGGTGTGCTTCGAGCGAGCCGTTTCAACTGGCGAGAAGAACCTCGGCTGGGATACTACGGCAATGGTTCAGTAGGGAGACATTAATCTGGACCAATTTTCTATGCTTTTTTAATGCCTGAAAAAAGTAATGTTCTTTGAATATCCTTTTACACTATCGATTGATAAACAATGGATAGTATTTGTCTTCCAGCCAAACTGCATGCAATAGCGGTGCAATATAACTCGGGCTCAACTTACCATTGTATGCCTCACGCTGGTTGGCAAATGACCAAATCACCTGGAATGCACCCGATCTTGTCAATCTCAGAAACTAGGCAGAGTGAAGCCTGGCTAGTGCTTGGATGAGCGACCGCCACGATTAAACCATATCATGGGCTGCTGGACAGCAGAGGGGAGTGCAGCACATTGCATGACTGTACCGTACATCAATGCTTCCACATCTATACTCTCTACCTTCACCAACCCCCATTGACCAGTGTGATGAAGTATGGTTAAATAGCTCCCCGTGACCCACATGGTGTGGGGGAGGCCCTAATCCAACGGTGTATTCACAAGAGGGCTGTCAATGAACAACGGCTGGTTGGTGATGAATGCGGTGTTTCTTGCTGTGTATTTGTGCTTTCACCTGTGAGATACAGGTTGGGGATGGAGGTCTCCGGACGCAGAACTGCTGTGGTTTCAGCACTGAAGCGCGGCAGGTTGTGGTGGATGCCGTAAATCTCCCCGCGAGGGGATGCGATGTAGTGCTGATGGGAGAGTGGACTCCCTGCCTCGATGTACTCAATCTGCACAGAGCGCAACGCGACAACAGCGTCATATACACTGCCAACACTGGGCGTGTGGATGTATCCAAAGTTTCCAGTTCAGCGAGGTTTAATTTGCCCAATAGTTTGCCGGCTGGCGATTCACTCAGATGTGGACTTAAATTCTGCATTATCCAAATTTAAGCGTTGGCTGTGGCCATGAGCAATACATTTTGGAAAGCATCCGTCGGGACTCGCTCACAAGCCCTGCCACGTCTGTATGAGACTACGCAACGGAGGCACTTGCGTATTGTCTCAGCCATGAAGTTACAAGAAACTGGTGTGCAAAGCGAGAGAGCGTTTCGTATCCCGGTGTAGAGGTCGGCAGTGCCCGATGGTGACGCTCACGTTGTCTCGGATCTGAGGGAACAAGTCTGTGGCACTGTCCAACAAGCGCCGTGCCATGGCCATCTTGAACGTCATGTACTCCTCCCCTCTCTTCTTCACGTGCTCATCCTTCCACTCCTCAAACCACTCGTAGGGAGCAAACGTCACTATGGCCAGCGTGGACTTTCCTGAAATAAGCACAAAGGTTTGCACATTTCAAGCGTGTTATAAATTACTCAACGGGGATTACACACAGCAACCATCGCCTCCTACTGGCAGACGAATGCTCATTTGCAGGGCCAGGTGCTGAGTCACAGAGGGACAGCTGCTACTGGGGGTGCAACTTTTAAATGTTTAAGATGAGATGTACAGCAGCTTATTGCGACTATCGCGCTCCGAGATGCCCCGGTGTAATGGGCCCTAAAACAAAAACAAGTCATTATAATTATAAGCACATAAAATGGTAAAAGTGACAAAAAACAAGTGTAATTCCAAACATAATACTTAAGTCACCAATTACATCTCTTAAACAGACACAATTAGTGGGTGTGATGCTGTTATCTCTGCACTGCAAGGCTTTACTCTGAAGCAGAAGATGATTGAAAGTGATTAAATAATTTAAATTATAAAATAATTGAATACCAATGTGCTTGGAAAAAAAAGTGTTCAATCAGTGTATATTACCTAGTATGGCATAGATCAGAAAAACGAAAACTGGCAAAGATAATATTTCAAAGCATGGAAGTACGTAAAAAAAACATGACATCTCTTCTCAATTAACCACCAACCGTGCCGACAAGTCAGGACTTACAGGTTTGCACCACCACTCCCACCAGACAGATCTCCCATATAGCCTTGAGCAGACTGTTGGGCCAAATGCTGTTCACGAGCACTTATGAAGAACGGAATTGCACACGAGGGGGTGGGTGGCCAGCACCACGCCCAACCACATTTGTCTACCTAGTGACGATGTTTACACACCGTTCCAGGTACTCATTTGATGCTGAGTAGACCTAGGGGAGGCCCAGGACCGGTTCAGATAATCATCACTGATGTTGGCCGTGAGCGGGAATCGAACCGAGGTCGCTGGGTTTTTAGTGCAGCGCGCTAGCCATAACACTACCGCTCCCACCACCAATACCAATACATCTCTGCAAGGTTCATTTTAAATGCAAAGAAGCATGGAAAGTTGCGTGTATGGACTTTTACTGTGAAACAACTAATGGCAATGACATGGGGAGGTCTTCATCAAGCAGTGCCTAGATCGTGGCTTGGGGATTATGAATCCGAATTCAGTGAAAATCCAAATACTTTTTTTCAATTGGATCATTTGGTGACCAAGTTCCGATCATCAACTAGCGACTTAAAAAAAAAAATATCGCCTCATTGAAGCATGACAACCATCTCTGCCGATTGAGTATCGACTCAGTTCTCGCGAAGAAGCGGCCTCTCCCGCTCCGACACACGTCCCCAACGTGTGGCGAGAAGCTGTCTGCTGTTAGTGTTGCCGGCAGTGACTCGGGGCTGAGTGCTTACCAGGATAGCGCTGCTCCCAGCAGGGGTCCTTGGCAGAGGGGAAGGAAATGAATTGCATGGGGACATCCGCCTCAGCTGCCTCTTCTTTGGAGAGCGCCATGAACCTGCTGAAGCTGCGCGAGTTGGAGCAGAGGCGACATCACTCAGGAACACTCAAGTCCCATTCACAATGCCTTAGTCTGAGCAAACTCCTCAACAGTTGGAGCGTTAACCCAGCAGAGCACCACTCATCCTCCTGAAATGGTTTTGAAGAGAAAAAATGTGCTTTAGATGTTTGGTCAATTATTTAATGACGTTTTTCTTTTCTGTGCCAAAGAGGAATGAAGTTGCCAGATACGAGAGAGCTCTCAAACACCACGCAGATGTGCAACTCACATGCTGCACTGCCCCCCACTGGCATCTCGTACCAAAGCGGGAGGGACGTACAAAAACATGACATCTCTTCTAAATTCGTTACCATCCCTGCCCACAAGTCAGGATTTACAGGATTGCACCACCACTCCCACCATCATTACCAATGCATACATCTCTGCAAGGTTCGTCTTAAATTAGACGTCTCACCGTTGACAAAGGTTGTTACAATTTGAACCACAAAAACACACTTGAAATGCAAGCGAGAAGCCAGAGTCGTGGTTTGCTTTGTACCGCATCCGAAAATCGCACGGCCGGTGTGACCACCTCTTACGCCGCTGGTAGGCGAGACGCTGCCGTGTTGCGAACGTGGCTGTCAAGGCCTAATCGTGGGACACGTCGCCCAGCAATGTCCGATGCTTCGTTCATTCAATGGCGGCATCTCAGACATTCGCTAGATTGCTCCCATGGCCATTAACTAACCTCGACATCAACAAAGGTCGGCAATAATTGCCTTGCCGTACAAAATAAAAAGAAACTACCCACATGTCCCCAATGCATACCTGGCATCGAGGTCATTCTCCTTGAACAGCCACACGTTAGCAGCTTTCAACTTGAGCTGTTCCTTGGTTCCGTCGAGTCCTACAAACACGGTGAAGGCTCCTATGCCGTGCTGCAGTCGACTCAGCTGCTCACGAGCTCCTGCGTGTAGAGGGCACACACACATCACGCGGACATATTTCTCCGTGCGCAAGCTCACTCCTGTGGAAATTCAAAGCAGCTTGCGCGATTAAATCACTAAATACAAGGGTTTAATTGACCTTTCAAATCCTTGTCTCCTCGTATCACGTGGTTTAATAAATCTTGAGACTGATTTTGACTTCGCAAAGTCTCTTCAGCAAGGTGTGGCTTTGTAAGGTGTTGCTACTTGGTATTTAGAGGTTATGTACAGGACTATTCATGAAACATGTGGAGCTCAATAATCTTGAACAAATCCCACCGGGAAACATTAATCTCTAAGACCCCTCTGCTGACAAGACAAATTGTCATTCCTTTGGGTGATTTACCAATTCTCATCAACATATTTCCAATTACAATTCAAGAAAACCGCAAACAACACTTTTTCAGTGATTACATTTAACCCAAACGCGTGACCTTGTCATGTCAGCACACAATAAGGGAACATGTGAAAGTGTTGGCTCAAGGAGTTCTTCACTCAAGAGCTCCCCCTGTTATGCATCAATTTCTTCCGGGTTCTCCACTTTATTCCCACAAGCTAAAAAAAACAATGGAACTGGTTTTGACCTAAAGCAGCAATACATTACTTGAAAATAAAAAATGTTTGGATTACCCATAGCAACAGTTCCGCTTAATGCAAAGATATGTCAGGACCCTTCTGAGTCTCAGTGAGCCAATCCTAGGCACACGAGCAGAGCAATAACAAAAACACCTTTCCATGTGACGCCATCTCACCTGCAGTTGCCAGCTTCTCCTCCGCAAGCAGAACCTCGTAGGTGTTAAACATGCCAGCGTCCGAAATGACCATGGGGGCATTAACCTGCACCTCTTCGCCTCCTTTGTTCACCATCACTCCTGCCAGCACACAGGGGGGCGAGCGACGACACGCGTTGACAAGGGCACCAGTAACGCAACACTGTGCAGCAGTGGCACTTCGTCGTGTGTCAGTCGTCGTGTGTCAGTCGGTCATGCCAGGAGATTGTTCCTGAAGACAAGCCAAGCACAATGGCTCAAATTTAAACATCTGTCCATCACAAGCCACATGTTGATGCATGATTAAACAGTTCAGAGCGGGTATGTAAATAAGATCCACTGTATGAGATACAGTCGCGATAAATCTCCAGAATATTTGCGTGAGGCGAGGGTAGCTATTGTGTTGCAACATTTTACAATAATTTAAGTCACATGGCTTTAGAACCTGCGGAGGAATGTGGTTAATTAATTGAGTTCCCATTTTGCCTGGAGATGAATGGGATTTTTTGTCACTCCACTTCTGAATTAGAGCCTCCCACACCGTGCGGGTCATGGGGAGTATTTGCCTATACAGCTATCCTTCGATTTACAAAATAGATGTGTTCTTCAAAAAACATACGTACAACAAAGTTTTGTAAATCGGAACGGCTTTTCCCCTCAATTTAAGACTAACAATTAGGGATGTGTTTTAGACAGTCATTCCAACTCTGCTCCTAACCTAATAATAAACACCTATATCACTTTTTATAATACAAAAATACTAAAGAACATAAATATAAGAATGGTTGAATAATAATTAATTCAAAACGAAAAATGATAACCTTTTCAGTCCACTCAGCAAAAGAGCCGCATCTTGGAATGAGTGGCAAGGGGATATGGAGGCGTCACTGTTGCACTGCAGGGACACCGTGACGCTGTGGCTGATAGATAATGACTCGGGTGCTTCCTGTTGGATCTCATGGTACATGCCGTGTAAATTTTCGTTCACGTGGAAATTCCATTTCGGTAATCAAAAAGTGTCCAGAATTTGTCAATTGCGTGAATGCTAAATTTTGTAAATCAAACGCTCATAATTTTAAGGATAGCTGTATTTCACTGTATTGGTGTGGGTTGATGAAGACAGAGATTACAAAGGCTGGAGCATTGTGTACAGCACATTGGATTTTTCTGCACTGCCAATCCTCGCAACGTAGCACTGCAGAGACCTACGACACCTGTTTTATGCATGTTGGTCACCCATACAAACACTACCCAGGCTTCACGCAGCTTAGCTTCCGATGTCTGATGAGATTGGGCGCATTCCAGGTGATTTTGCCATCGGAATATTTTTTTACTGTAAACTTAGTCACAGCTGAGTTCCACCTAGGCCCCTAACACGGTTCAGTCCAGGCTTGAGCCCAGAATTGAGCGCAAGCTTGAGCCGCTTCTTTGCTTTCAACCATGGCTTGGCTGAGAGCTCATGGGAATCCTGAGCGTGGCAGGAACGGTGCTCAGAGCAGGCTAAAGTGAAGCACAGCTTTGAACCGACTCACTTGAGCCAGAGCCGAGCCGTGACAAAGCTCAGTGGGCTTTCCCTGATAAGATAGAACATTGTTTAGTTTTTTTGCAAGTGATTTGTTTACCATTCCTCTACTTTGCACTATCGTGTTTTTGTATGGTTTGTTGTAACATTCTGACCTGCCCCTACTGGACATCTGTGAAAAGGGCTTTACAGCTCATCGCATTCCTCCAGTATCAATAAATATTCTGATTCTGAAGAATAGGAGGCCTTAAGAGTCTCGGGGACATGTTCTCAGAAAACCGCGCCACGAAGTGTCCCATCGTCACGGTGCGCAGACGCACCACAGGCACGGCCGCCCGAGTCGAGCAGGATGCGCGAGACGGGCGCACGCACCAGCACGGCGCCGCCCGCGCGCTGGATCACGGGGATGATGTGCATGGCGATCTCGCTGGCGCCCCCCACCGGGTACCAGCTGCCCTGCACAAAGTGGTTGATGAGGATCGCCTGCATCACGAAGCTTGTGTCCTTGGGAGGGCAACCTGGAGGGCAGACGATGATAATCATCTTAACAGCATTTACGAACATTTGTACATTTGTATGTTGAACTTCTTTTGTGCCGGATGTAGCCAACCGTGCTATCATCTGTTAAAACTGATACGGGCATTCAAGCTACACGTATTGAGTATTGTGCATACGATTAGATAATATAACAGTAATTTAAATTAAACTAGTATTGTAAACAAGAGTAACTTTAACTTCAAATAAAATATCAGACACTGCTCTTCTACTTCAATTGCTATTAACACTGACTTACAAGATAACAATATAATAACTTGAATCATGTAATGTTTCTGTAAATGTTCCTTAAGTATACATTTTTTGCTCATTAGTCTTCATGCAATAATATCAGTATGCTCTGTTTGCCTTGAAATTCTATTCCTTAAAGTCTAAAATTATACATCGATAAATCTTGACGTAAAGCTTTCGTGACTGCAGGAATTCATACTCTTTGGGTCTTTCGGTCGTCACGAAAGAAGGGGGGTAGAGATAGGGGGAGAGAGGGGGGGGGGGGGAGAGAAGGGGTAGATATAGGGAAAGAGAGAGGGGGGGAGAGAGAAGGGGTAGATATAGGGAAAGAGAGAGGGGGGGAGAGAGAAGGGGTAGATATAGGGGGGGGAGAGAGAGGGGGGGGGGGGAGAGAAGGGGTAGATATAGTGAGAGAGAGAGGGGGGAAGAAATAAGGGCAGAGAGGGGGTAGAGATAGGGGGAGAGAGAGGGGGTAGAGATGGGGGGCATTGCACCTCACTCCACACATCCACACTGCTGACGGTGGAGGTTGACAAGAAATTACAAATCAAGTCATGACCCAAAGTGGTTGATGACATCTTTCCAATGATTGCTGAGTTTATAAACGTCTTCTCGGTTGAAATTATGTCTGTGTCTATATATGTGGATGGCCTCATGAACGAAGGCAGTAGGCTTGCAAAATACCATCGTTTTAGAGAAATCAATTATCGTGTAAGCCAACCGCATTTAAAGAATGATCAGCTACGGCAGAAGTATTGGTCCTACCGTCTTTCAAATCTGCCTTACGTTCATGAACACGGTCCGAGGCATGTCGCTTAGTTTCCCCAATGTAACTAACTGCTGCTGCAGATACAGCTTAGTTTGTAGACACTGGGATATTACTGGTAGGAACCTCCTGGTCACACCAGCCCACAGGGGATTATTGTGTCCATCCGTCCGTCATGCAGGGAGGGGCTGGGTGGGGAGGTTGGGGCTGGGTGGGGAGGGGAGGGTGGGGAGGGCTGGGTGGGGAGGGTTGGGCTGGGTGGGGGTGGGAGGGGAGGGGCTGATCACCCCATGGTGCCCTTATAAAACTCAACGTTTAACCTACTCACGCCGGCTTGTGCCCGCCCTCACAGTCGGGCATATTTGCGGAATACACCACGCCGCCGTTGACCCTGGCCATTGACAGAGCAACCAAACGTTCCTACCAGCTCCCTCCGCAGGAAAGTGTTGCATGTCAGGAATCTTGTCCTTCACAGATGGGATCAGATCACGAATTTTATGTACTGTGTTAAATCGACCTGGATTTTGTTTGTTCATGATTTTGGAAATATTTTTGGTTACCCCTGCTATGTATGGCAAGGTGATGGTTTTGATTGGGTCCTCAGATGGCTTTGTGGATTGTGTAGTTAGAGTATCCATTCGCCTTGAGAGCTTGGTGTACGTGTTTGAGTTCACTGGTTAGGTGTTCATTGTCGGAGATACATTGAGCTCTATGGTGTAGCGTTTTGATGAGGGAATTCTTCTGGGATGGATGGTGGTGGGAATCAGGTTTTAGGTTGGCATCAGTATGGGTTATTTTTCTGTTGACAGAATGGCTCATTGAGTCATCTGGTCTCTCTTTGATTAAGACATCCAAGAAAGGTAGATTGCCATCCTTTTCTACCTCCATGGTGAACTTTATGGCTGAGTGTATGAAACTGATGTGGTTGAGGAATTGTTTCAGAGCCGATCGACCATGTGGCCAGATGACGAACGTGTCATCCATGTACCTCTTCCACAAGGACGGGCATAGAGTAGATGCCTGGATGGCGTCAGTCTCAAATTGGTCCATGAAAATGTTAGCTACAACCAGCGATAAGGGAGAACCCTTTGGGGTCGAAACGTCGTGAGTTTTTGGTTTTTATTACATTTTTATTTTATTTTTTATTTTTTACCAAAGAATATAAATTCCTGCAGTCACGAAAGTTAAATACAAATGTAAGGTTACAAATATTATCGCAGTCTCTATGATCCACTGTATATTATGTTCCAAATTATATCAAGCATAACAAATATGATTTCCATTAACTGTTGCATTTTTACAAAGCATTAAAAAACCATTCAAAAGCTGGACTAGGAGGTGTGATGGTAGAGGCAGAAATGGGTGAGATGTTAGCTAGAAATGTGAAGTGACAGGGCCAAGGAAAAAAAGAGGGGAAATAAAGGGCTAGGTAGAGATCCACTTGCAGCACGCATAAACACAGGGACACCGGGAAAGTCATAAATCAGACAGACAGGTACTGACAAAGAAAGTCTTGAGATAGCGGAACAAACAGATAGACAAAGCCATCGAGAGACACAGACAAGATCGACAGGAAGCATATACCTACACCCAGAAAAAGCGTAAATCCACACATGGTAACAAATACATTGTCGCAAATTATCTGATTTATCCAGAAGGCTCAACTAGATGTTATTATCTGCTCTTTGGTGCCAAATAGTGCTCAATACTCTAGCTACGGAGTACATTAAGATACAGATAAACGAAAATGGCTTACAGTATCCAAAAATGCAAGCCACAGCCGACGTTTATACGTATTCAAAACAGGATCCAAAGTAAAAAACGCAGGGCAGTGGACTCGATTTAAATAAGAAAAAAATAGCGCAATCTGTGCGCTCTACCTGTACGAGTTGTAAAGAATAAATGACACATAGGACATGAAAAATCTACGATGCAGGGTCAATGAAAAATCCACACCACAGACTGTGAAGAATCGGCGAATCACGCGAGGTGCTGCACAAAGACTGCACAACGCATGCTACGTACCGTAGTCCCCAAAGTTGTAGGCCATGACGGCACGAAGGTCTGCATTGTCGGTAATCTCGGCGAGCACAGAGGAGAGGCTACGCGAAGACAGACGGAAGTAGGAGGTCAACCGGTCGATGATGCCCACGCGAATGAGCAGCTTGGACAGCCACAGAGGCAGCATCTTCAGTAGCGGTGAATAGAGAAACCCCTTGCGCACCTCCTGCACAAAGTAGAGCAGTCCAACACATGCATGTGCAGCGCGGCCCATAACACAGTTGCTATGACATTATACAACAGGAATGCTGGTTAAGAGGATATGTTACTACTTGATTTCTTCCTGCCTCAGCAGTCTGCCTGCTGTATATTTTCACCTGAAGATGATTGCTTGTGTTGCGATCGAAACGTCGTGATTTATCTTATTATTTTTCTATCTACGTGACTTTACCAAAAGACCCAAAGAGTATTCATCTTTGTAGTCAATATATATATTTTTTAATAATACACATTTCTAAATCTTGACTTAAAGCTTTCGTGGCTGCAGGAATTCATATTCTTTGGGTCTTGCAGTAAAGCGACGTAGATAGAGAAATACAAATATTACATTTTTATTATTTTTTCTATCTACGTGGCTTTACCGAAAGAACCAAAGAATACACATTTCTAATTTTTACTTAAACTTTTTTTCTCAAAATAATATAGCTCGCCTTAATATTCAAAATGACACACTTTTTTGTGGTATTATCAAGATCAAAAAGGTAATCAGTTTAACACATAGGCTTTCACGACAATTATTATTAATAACGAAGGTTGTTGGGTTAGATCCAAAAAACTTTATTATTAATCAAAAGGCAATGTTGACAAATGTTACGGTGCCTTTTTTTGTTATCAATCCTTGTTTTTCTACATTATCAAAACCCCATTATCACAACCATATCTTTAATAACATCTCTATCTTCACTAGAATTATTACTCTCACTATCATCACATTGTTATATCTATTGCTATCAACCTCATCACCATCACAATTACTCCACACATCTACAGACAATGGGGTTACAGGACTGAATTGGAATACCACATGGAGATGACAATTTTACATCAGACAACAGGCTACTGCCATGGAATATAGTTCATATATTTTCCTAGTGTCATCCAAGTGTCACCATACACTAGGAATTTGTGAATTCAGAAATTAAAATCAATTATTATACACAATGCAAGGATGAAGTCACGTGTGTAAGAATTGTTTCCAGTTGATGAAAATTGTATACAATTTATATCTTAATGCACATTTAAAAGAAAAAATACAGAACACACAAGACAATGAAAGTGAGACAATACAAATGACACAGTACAAACGAGTCAAAAATTTATCAACTCTTGAATGGAATGGTGACCCCTAATGATGACGAGCCTGAGAACTACAATGGGTGAATCATTACATGACCACCATATACAGCCATTGATATATTTCTCATGTGTGTCGATTGATATATCAAAAGTGGTTGTTGACGAGTAGACCAGTCTCCCTGGTGAGCCACCAGCTGTACCTGCAGGAGGGAGTGGAACTTGTCAATTGCTTTTGTATCCTTGGGGAAGGCGGCGTGCAGCTCGTCCCAGAAGCGGCGCCTCCCACTGTAGAGCGGCACGACGAGGCGCGGGGCAGCGGGGTCTCCGAACACCACCGTGTCGAACGGATCGTCCAGCTCCACCCATTGCAGCTGCCCGTCCGTCAGCTGGTCGATGAGTGTACGAGACACGGAGTTCTTGTGCATCTCCCCAATGTAGTGTATCCCTGTCGTGAACACATCGCCATGCACACACACAAAGAACATCGTCACAAAGGAAAAACAAAGTCTTTCGGAAAAAACACACCCTAAGACTAGGCCTAATAGCCACACAGCCCATCCCACGAAGAAAACGTTAATATCCGCCCCCATTTATTTATATCCAGAATGCCCTGCAGGGGAAAGTTCTAGCGGCAGGAACTTTCTCATGTAATTCTACCGGACCAACACAGGTGAAGTCCACGTTCCCTGTGCAGATGACAACCAGTCCCAAGTTGGGGTAATCGCCACACGTTGATTCTTCAGAAAGGCAATGTAACAGTACACCACGATTGTGACTGTACAATACCACAGGGGAGTTGCACAACGCCACATGACATGGGTTGTGCTTACAATTGGTAAATGATTTAGTGCTGAAATATGATTACTATTGGTCTCAGGCAACAGCAGTAGAGCATAAAGCTGTTGCATTAATGGGCAGTGGACAGATACTCCGACAGTTTTATTGCCTGTCGCGAATGGGATAAAAGGTTTGAGTTGAAAGATATTTTTGTTCGAAATAATGTATTGTCATTATATTTTATTGAATGAAATGTTTGCATTACTTTGCCAAATAAAGCATTTTTTTAATTTGGTAATTTCCCATTTGAAGTGTGATTCTGGTATTTCTCATTGTGGGTTAGATTGCATAAATACAGATTATATATTTCTTTATATAAATGATATATTTTCACAATCTAACCCATAAAAACCTGGATTATGGATGATAATGGTGGCGAAAGCCTACGTGTTAAGCTGTAGAGTTTGAGTTATAATTTGTTGTTAAGTCCACCACTTGCACCCTTCACCACTGCCCATGTATTCTATTCTTGCGAATGGCAATGTGTCCAAGAGATAAATGCTGACGTTGAGGTCTGCGAGCCACGAGAGGGCTTGAGGAGAGATTTCGTATCGTTTTGCCACCTCCCTGTTGAAAGAGCGCAGACCACAATGGTTTACGATATGGTCTATCGTCTGGCTTGCATGGCAACAATTGCACTACTGTGGCTTGACATTAATTTTCCATTTGTGAAAGAAATGCCTTTTGATTTTCTGATGCAATTATTTGAACAGAAGGCAACACAGACAGAGAATCCCAAGGGCTGCTTGTTGTGCTTGGATTCCTCACCTACATCGAACTCAAAGCCCTTTTTCTGGTAGGTGTGACAGCAGCCCCCAGCACGAGTGTGCTGCTCCAGCACCAGCACACGACGCCCAGCTTTGGCCAGCAGCGCCGCCGTTGTGAGTCCTCCAATGCCACTTCCCACCACCACGGCATCCAGCTGCTTCGGAACGCGGCTCTCCACAAATCCTGACATGCACACCAAGGCAAAGAACCTCTTTATCGCCGACACGGCACACCGGGATAGGTGCGTGGCCAGCACCCCGGCTGGCCGCCTTTGCAGTGTTTGCGTACGCGCAACGCACCGGGTGCCCATTTAGAGCAGAGTCCACCTCGGGGAGGTCTTTGGAAGATTAAAGGCAAACGATCCAAATGACATGCACGGGCTGGGAATTGAACCCAGATCCCTGGTCAAAGTCATAGTGTAACGCGTGAACCACTGTGCCACCATGACGTGCAGCATATCTCTACGTAGCCATTTGGCAAGAAACCCGGCACAATCTCCGGGCAGTACTGTACGTGCACAGAGTTCATAGGCAGCATTAGTCTCACTGGAATGCTGTCACGTAGGACACGTTACGACGTGATGAAACCATTCTAAAAATAGCTGTGTGGCTCAGGGTGGCCATGCTTGGTCTGTGTCAGTTCTTGGCATTGTTCACATTACGTGCTCTAATCACAGCGTCTCACGCGAGATTACAACAGGTGGTCAGGCGGGGCATTTATTGGGAGTACAAAACTTAGACCTGTGTTAGGAATGAAGGTGATAACACCTAGCCCCTTTCCTATCTTCAACCTGCAAAAAAACTCTGCAGCTATATTTAGTTAGTGGCCATATTCAGGAAGGATTCATATCAGAGGCAAGATTTATTGAAGTCAAATTACACAATAAAGTTACATTTCTTTATGTAAATTGCATTGGATAGTAAGTCCAGCAGACGGATACAACACAGGCAGCGATGAGCACACACACACAGGGGGTCACCGCGATATTGCCATGGTTCTAATGCGACTGCATTGCCACAGGTGTAAGTACTGCACTGTTAATACGAGCTACATACGCACATGGTGCATACACTAGACATAGCACATAGAATATTTGCACTGTGTGCATGCGTAACCCATGCATGTCAGTGAATACAGACGCGTTGATACCCTGCACTGTCCATAAACACAGACAACAAAGTTGCTGCTGCAGCTGCTGCTGCTGCTGATAGCGCGCGGCGAGTGGGTGAGAGGCGGCAGCCCGCCAGCCACGGCCATGAACTTGGCACAAGCCCCACGAGTGTGGCGCCATGTGGCCCCATGTGGCCCCAGCATGAGACTGCGGTGAGCATCAGCTGGGCTCCCTCGAGGGAGGAGGAGTCGAGGTTTGTCGAGGCCTGGCAGGTGCAACCGGTGGTCCCCGACTCCCCTTGCAACCCTCCTGTCGGCCCCAGCTCAGCAGCGTCCCCCGTCCCGCGAGTGACAGGCGGAGGAGGCCTCCGCGGCCGCGGCTCCACGGCCCCTCACCTTGGCGGATCACTTTCTCCCGCGCCTCCTTCTCGATGGTCAGGGCCGCGGGCTCGCGCCGCGTGTCCGTCTTGAACGGGTTGTGCTCGGCGGAGGCGCCGAAAGGCAGCACGCCGTGCCTGGCGAGCAGCACCACGCCGAGCGCTACGAGCAGCGCCAGCAGCGCCAGCGGCAGCAGCAGCCAGGCGCACATCACGCACAGCGACATCGCGACCCGTGGGAGCGAGGCGGCAGCTGCGGCACCGCGGGGACCACTCTCCTCGCTCTCCTCGGACTCTGCCGCGGTCGGCAGCACTCCGCCAGGTAGACGGGCAGAGGGCGTGGCCAGCGTCGCCCGCCCCCCCCCCGCTAACACCCCGCCCACCTCGGCCAATAGACGCTTGAGATGGCAGCGAGCCACGCCCCCTCAAGACGCGTTAGCCAATGAGCGGGGCGTGCGTTGGCAGTGGCGCGATCGGTCACGCGAGGTCTCGTGCGGGTGGGGTCGCACACGGGGGGGGGGGCTGGCGGAGTGGGGGGGGGTGTCACTGGAAGGTGTGCGGGGCCGATGCGGGGGGGCAGTGTGGGGCGAGGCAGTGTGGAGGGGAGTGTGGAGGGGGGGCGAGGCAGTGTGAAGGGGGTGGGGCGAGGCAGTGTGGAGGGGGGGCGAGGCAGTGTGGAGGGGGGGCAAGGCAGTGTGAAAGGGGGTGGGGCGAGGCAGTGTGGAGGGGGTGGGGCGAGGCAGTGTGGAGGGGGTGGGGCGAGGCAGTGTGGAGGGGGGGCAAGGCAGTGTGGAGGGGGGGGGGGCGAGGCAGTGTGGAGGGGGGGGGGGCGAGGCGGTGTGGAGGGGGGGGGGGGGGGCGAGGCAGTGTGGAGGGGGTGGAGCGAGGCAGTGTGGAGGGGGGGGGCGAGGCAGTGTGGAGGGGGGGGCGAGGCAGTGTGGAGGGGGGGGGGGGCGAGGCAGTGTGGAGGGGGGGGGCGAGGCGGTGTGGAGGGGGGGTGGGGCGAGGCAGTGTGAAAGGGGTGGGGCGAGGCAGTGTGGAGGGGGTGGGGCGAGGCAGTGTGGAGGGGGTGGGGCGAGGCAGTGTGGAGGGCAGTGTGGAGGGGGTGGGGCGAGGCAGTGTGGAGGGGGGGGCGAGGCAGTGTGGAGGGGGGGGGGCGAGGCAGTGTGGAGGGGGGGGGCGAGGCGGTGTGGAGGGGGGGGGGGGGCGAGGCAGTGTGGAGGGGGGGCGAGGCAGTGTGAAGGGGGGGGGGAGGCAGTGTGGAGGGGGGGCGAGGCAGTGTGGAGGGAGTGGAGCGAGGCAGTGTGGAGGGGGGGGCGAGGCAGTGTGGAGGGGGGGGGGGCGAGGCAGTGTGGAGGGGGGGGGCGAGGCAGTGTAGAGGGGGGGGGGGCGAGGCAGTGTGGAGGGAGTGGAGCGAGGCAGTGTGGAGGGGGGGGCGAGGCAGTGTGAAGGGGGGGCGAGGCAGTGTGGAGGGGGGGGCGAGGGCAGTGTGAAGGGGGGGCGAGGCAGTGTGGAGGGGGGGGGCGAGGCAGTGTGAAGGGGGGGCGAGGCAGTGTGGAGGGGGGGGGCGAGGCAGTGTGGAGGGGGGGGGGGCGAGGCAGTGTGGAGGGGGGGGGCGAGGCAGTGTAGAGGGGGGGGGCGAGGCAGTGTGGAGGGAGTGGAGCGAGGCAGTGTGGAGGGGGGGGGCGAGGCAGTGTAGAGGGAGTGGAGCGAGGCAGTGTGGAGGGGGGGGGGCGAGGCAGTGTAGAGGGGGGGGGGGCGAGGCAGTGTGAAGGGGGGGCGAGGCAGTGTGGAGGGGGGGGGGGCGAGGCAGTGTGGAGGGGGGGGGGGCGAGGCAGTGTGGAGGGGGGGGGCGAGGCAGTGTGAAGGGGGGCGAGGCAGTGTGGAGGGGTGGAGGGGGGGGGGCGAGGCGGTGTGGAGGGGGGGGGGCGAGGCAGTGTGGAGGGGGGGGGCGAGGCAGTGTGGAGGGGGTGGAGGGGGGGGGGGCGAGGCGGTGTGGAGGGGGGGGGCGAGGCACGTGTGGAGGGGGGGGGCGAGGCAGTGTGGAGGGGGTGGAGGGGGGGGGGGCGAGGCAGTGTGGAGGGGGTGGGGCGAGGCGGTGTGGAGGGGGGGGGGGGCGAGGCAGTGTGGAGGGGGTGGGGCGAGGCAGTGTGGAGGGGGGTGGGGCGAGGCAGTGTGGAGGGGGTGGGGCGAGGCGGTGTGGAGGGGGGGGGGGCGAGGCAGTGTGGAGGGGGTGGGGCGAGGCAGTGTGGAGGGGGGGGGGCGAGGCAGTGTGGAGGGGGTGGAGGGGGTGGGGCGAGGCAGTGTGGAGGGGGTGGAGCGAGGCAGTGTGGAGGGGGGGGGGCGAGGCTGTGTGGAGGGGGTGGAGGGGGTGGGGCGAGGCAGTGTGGAGGGGGGGGGTGAGGCAGTGTGGAGGGGGGGGGGCGAGGCAGTGTGGAGGGGGTGGGGCGAGGCAGTGTGGAGGGGGGTGGGGCGAGGCAGTGTGGAGGGGGTGGGGCGAGGCAGTGTGGAGGGGGGTGGGGCGAGGCAGTGTGGAGGGGGTGGGGCGAGGCGGTGTGGAGGGGGGGGGGCGAGGCAGTGTGGAGGGGGTGGGGCGAGGCAGTGTGGAGGGGGGGGCGAGGCAGTGTGGAGGGGGGGGGGCGAGGCAGTGTGGAGGGGGTGGAGGGGGTGGGGCGAGGCAGTGTGGAGGGGGTGGAGCGAGGCAGTGTGGAGGGGGGGGGCGAGGCTGTGTGGAGGGGGTGGAGGGGGTGGGGCGAGGCAGTGTGGAGGGGGGGGGTGAGGCAGTGTGGAGGGGGGGGGGCGAGGCAGTGTGGAGGGGGTGGGGCGAGGCAGTGTGGAGGGGGGGGGGCGAGGCAGTGTGGAGGGGGGGGGCGAGGCAGTGTGGAGGGGGGGGGCGAGGCAGTGTGGAGGGGGGGGGGGCGAGGCAATGTGGAGGGGGGGGGGCGAGGCAGTGTGGAGGGGGGGGGCGAGGCAGTGTGGAGGGGGGGGGGCGAGGCAGTGTGGAAGGGGGGGGCGAGGCGGTGTGGAGGGGGGGGGGCGAGGCAATGTGGAGGGGGGGGGGGCGAGGCAGTGTGGAGGGGGGGGGGGGCGAGGCAGTGTGGAGGGGGGGGGCGAGGCAGTGTGGAGGGGGGGTCGAGGCAGTGTGGAGGGGGGGGGGGGCGAGGCAGTGTGGAGGGGGGGGGCGAGGCAGTGTGGAGGGGGGGGGCAGTGGTGGTGCGAGGTCTCTTGGCCTGCCACTTCTCCCCGAGTCATTGTGGCAGTGATAGAGTAATCAGTGCTGGTGGCGTACAATATAACAATCTCACCTGTTTCAAAGTCCTACACGAGTGGTGTATGTTACACATTCCTGAGTGGTACAGGTGCGAGGTTCACGATGACATCGCACGGCTGTGACAGATGGTGATCATGTTCAGGCTGCTAATTGCCAATGTCCGAGGTCTGCGAGCCATGACAAGAGGGCTTCGAAGAGAGTTCGTGTCATGTTGCCGCTATTCCTCCTCCATTGAATGAGCACAGACTACAACGGTTTTCGATGTGGGTCAATCGTCTAGGTCGCTTGCCTTTACGTATCTCTATGTGTGTCTATATGAGTCTCTATGGAACTCCATGCGTCTCTTTGTGTTTACTGTACGGTCCAAAGTTTGTGTTGCATGGCCATGATCGCACTACTGTGGCTTTGTCTTTAATTTTTAATTCATGAAGGAGATGCGCGCATCTTCCTGTCGATGTTCTGATGCGGTTGATGATTGCTACCAGTGTCTTCAGGGAATGTCAAAGCCAGCAGGTGCGATGTTTTTTCGTCTCGAATTAGGAGTTTATTCTGGACGTCCGTGTTATTCCGCTCTGTTCGCCCGCATTCTTCCGGATCTCAGTGAGATGTTAGTATGGTGACAGAGCGATGCCAAAAGGGGGATGGGGACTCGAGTTGGCGACGAGGAACATGGTTGAGGTGTGTATGTCTCCGTGGATATTTGGTGGCTGAATGTTCGCGATAGAACATGGAGCCAGGGGATTGGTGTAGTCTGTTTCAGCGTTCTGTTTACGATGCACATCCCGGCGTTCGATTGCCCATCCAGCAGTTTTGCGCACCCATAATGCAAAAACCCGAATCTAACCCCGCGAGACAAAACAGGCCACCGAGTGGTCGCGACCCAAGCAGGTGGCGGGCGGGGCACGGACCGCGCGCCAGCTGCAGCGCAGAGCCCACAGCGCTGACCTCTGGGGGGGGCAGGCGGTGCGCGAGTAAACACCGGAGTCCGTGTCCTAATGAGAACGCGACGATGCGTGCTGCTGGGCTGTGCGCAGCTGGCGGGTCAAGTGCATGGCCACTCCGTGTCGCATTGTCCTCACATTTCATGAAATTAAATTTCCGTAACCATACTGCACCGTCAACTCGTTTAAACGCAGCTCTTTGAAACTCGACAGATCTCGACATTTGCATTCACGGGCTTACGTAAGGCCGTCGAAATGTACACGCTTGAAATATTGCACTTTTTGGAGCTGTTAATACAGATGTAGAATACAAATGTATACATGACTGATACATGCTCATTTATGATGCTCTATTCGTATTGTGGGTAATCCAACGCAGACCTGCTTGCTCCCAATGTGAATCTGAAATGTAACTTTGGTGCTGGATCAGCAACAGTGTGTTTCCGTTTACCTCCCAGCTTTACTTTCGCCTCTGCGATTTGTGAGGATCTGAACTTATTTCTACTACCCATGAAACACACCGAGTTGCCGTTCCAGCAAAAAAATATGCATTTCTATTTTTAAAATGTGATCAGTCATGAAATGTCAGTTCAACACGTAGGCTTTCGCGAACAATATCATCCATAATATCGTTTTTTTTGGGTTAGATCGCGTAAATATAAATGTGTCGCGTGGTGGCAGATTTAACGACACATTCATAGTTACGCAATCTAACCCCAATACAAACCTACATTTTATATGAAATGTAATGTTTTTGATTCAAAGTAGACTTTTAGGTTAGGCCACCGTAATATTAACGGCAAAAACCTCCGTGTTAAATGTAACGCCTTTATTTTGCATTGCACAACAATACTCGTTATGAATAAGGCAACTCCTGTTTAGCACACAACAAGAAACGTCCTTCATAGCCTCGGTGATGGTATTTTTGTTTCTGCCCCACTGCTCGGTCACTGAGCAGTGTCGCTCCTGGAGGTTTTGAAAGCCATTGGCCAACGTTCCTCTCTGGTAGTGCTGGAGGCATGACCCTGTTGGGAATACTGGAGGGTCATCTACCTCTGCTAAACTGTATAGTCCTGTTCCTACAGCCCAGTACTATAGAGAGCCTTGAGCGAACACTTTGATACAACATATGTTCACGATGATGGGCATCTCAGACTACAAAGACGTATTATAGATTTTAAATACAAATCAAGCAGAAGGAATGCATGTTTTATGTTGGTAACTTTATTTTTACTTTTATATTAGACAATGGTTATGTTGCCGTCCAACTCTTGGAGTCATTTGAGCTTAAACATTTGTGCTGTTCATAATTTGTTGGTATAAACGACCTAATTGTCTTTTCTTAAGATGCAAAGCCAATTGATATGGTTGATGGATGAAAATTTTCAGTTCATTCACTGCAGAGCAGCTGCAAGTGAACTAAAGTTTCAGGTGTACAAAGTGGAGGCATGTATATTTACTGTAAAATCATTTGAATACGAGATACCACTCTTCTCGTCGACAGCATTTTTACTGCGCCTGGCTGTGAGCTCCCACCGATTAGTCCAACTCTTAATTTCCACTAAATTTTGCGAAGTTGGCAACATTTAAAAGTTGATTTAAAGCTTTCGTGACTGCAGGGATTAATCTTCTTGGTTCTTTCGGTAAAGTCACGTAGAAGGGAAGTAATAAAATAATAAAACATAATAAAATTATTCTCACGACGTTTCGGCCACAACGCAAGCAGCCGTCCTCAGGTGAAAACCAGGTCCGTCGAGGCGACAGAGTCTCTGTCGCGACAGAGTCTCTGACGGCTGCTTGCGTTGTGGCCGAAACGTCGTGAGAATAATTTTATTATGTTTTATTATTTTATTACTTCCCTTCTACGTGACTTTACCGAAAGAACCAAGAAGATTTAAAAGTTGATTTGAGGCCATGCTCACCGCAAGGAAGACAGCTAATCATTCATTCCAATAAACTGACTCCGATATGAACATGTGCTTCTGTTCATACGAGTGTTTTTCAGCCTGGCTACGGCACGTGAAGAGATCTGTACATGACACACTATATCTGCAATTATCCTTGCCTATGTACATTGAACTTCTTTCGCACCTTATGTATCCAACCGTGTTAATCAGAGGTGCGGGGGAAGGACAACTCAACTTACCTCCGCCACCGTATCCAGATTTCATTGCGGATGAGAGTTCCATCGTAATACATCTCACGTGAAATCGTGCCCACGTCACAATACCACGACGCATGGAAACGGGTGGCAGTGGTTTCCCAGTAAAGCTGCCCTCACACCTGGCCTGTAGGCGGCGCATCGGTGTGCGTCACTCATGTTTGCAAGAGGTCACGTGGTTGTCAATCACTCAATAAACACCGTCGTTTTTCTAACGAATCTTTGCCTAAGTAAACAATGGCCCAGAAAGCAAGTTTCAGTGACATTTTAATTTTAAGGCAAGGCAATGCCGTTTATGGCCATTATCTGCCAACTCTAATATTGATTACATGTGAGAATGCGCAGAGACTGAGAAAGAGACTGCCGTTCTGCAGTGTCGAGTGCTCTTTTGAACATTCCCATGGATTGAAGTGCAATGCCATCTCCTAGCCCTTCCACCATCGCTAATCACACCGAACATGGCATTGTTCATGCTACATTGTTGCCTGTCTTCAGCACCTGCACACGTATGTAATTATAATCGACAGTAACAACGATGTTTTTAAGCTGCCACTGAGACATTAACTAGGTTCTCATGAACACAAAGAATATGCAGTTTGCGGGATTTTGCAAGCACAGAAAATCGCAGAAACTCTGCAGCATGCACAGGAAAAATACATTTCTAAACACGATTTTAAAAAATTACCTCTAATTATCTCCTGATGCTCAATCTGACCTGAAATTAAGACAAGTATATATAAGATAACATTGTTAAACAGCATGTCGAGGTTAGTATGTATCAATGAATACAAGGAATGTTGGAGATTATACAATACAAATTCAAGTACAAGTTAAACATAAATGTGAAGTCAACATTTCTAGGATTTCAAAGCATGACATAATGTTCGTGTAACTTTATTCATCACACAAGCCACACGCCGGTTGTTGGATGGGCTGCACCAGGCTGGCTAGGCCTCGACGCCTCCGGCCCGTGCTGCGGCTGCTCCCACGTGGCTCTGCCATTAGCAGGAGTGGCAGCTCTTCCCGCACGAACTCGAGATGTCGCCGCAGAAGCCGAGGCCGGCGTACAGGCCGCAGTGGGAGTACTGGTCTCGGCACAGATTGGCTGTCAACAACAATGACTGCATTGTGAGCCCGCGATACATGTCAACTGTTTCTATAACAAAACCTCAACACGTGTGTCAAGAACACTGTGGCCATTAAAGTAAAAACAATGTATAACAGGCAATGTTTCACGCAAAGCTCCTGCATGATGTGGGAATGTGCTGCCCCCCCCCCCCTCGACAATGCAGAACACAGATCATGTGAAGGGTACTCAGAGGCAGTTCTGTGATATCTACTTCCGTGGGCCGTTCTCAACACGAAGGGTTGCACTGCTCTGTTAGCCCCGAACGGATATTTTGTTTAATGAAGCGATGTCGATTGCAACAATCCCAGCAAAACTGAGAAAAGCGATCTTTGAACTTAAACGATTATAACTTTTTTTGCAGGAAATGTATAGATACATCTTCTGATGTATCTTCTGATGTATTTGAAGCGCTAAAAATGAACGGTTACAATGATGCACAAATCAACAGGGCATTGAATGTCAAAACCAAATAAAACAACACGAGCACTGAAATTACTGAAATTGCCCAAGTAATTAAAACGATACAAATACCGTACATTGTGGGAGTAACTGATAAACTAACCAGATGTTTGGAAAAACAAAACATCCGAGTCAGATTTAGCACAGTACATTAAATACAGAAATTCATATATTGTAGAAAATATTATTACCGAAGCTATCAACAGAAGGTGTGTACAGGATTATCTGCACGTGTGGCAAATGTTATGTTGGGCAAACAGGATGAATGATCAGCACGAGACTAAAAGAACATCACAGAAATATTAAATTCTCTCAAATATAACGTCAGCAGTAGCAGAGCACGAGTGCCAACAAGGACACTCAATTGATTTTGAAAATGTTGAAGTTCTGTGCAAAACTAGCTACTACTGGCCCAGACAAATTAGAGAATCTATCAAAATTGAAAGAAATAAAATATATTTTTACCGTTCGGATAGCTACTGCCTTAGTGCTGCGTGGAAGCGAATCATCAAATAATACATTGTTTAAATTCATGCCTATAAAGGGCACCATACTTCAATAGGGATTACCGTTGGTACAGCTATTTTAATACACACGTTGGACAGGAAGGACAATATCAAAGGGCTCGCATAATGCACATGCATCATGTACGTTGACTCAGTAATCGCCCCCACTGCTTTGCGCAAGAGCGCAGAAGCGTGGTCACCACATCTACGCCTCTATATAAGGTACGAAACAGGTGGACTTCTCCACAAATCTGGCTGTTGCCTAATGAAGCTAGTTGTAATTACTGGCGAAACGTCGTACTCAGATTGTAAATGGTGTGGCTTGGCTCTCCAACACACCAGTGTGCTGTACTAGTGACGAATTGGCATGTTCTGTTTGCGTGACAAACCTTACTAGTTGGCTGTGTCGGGTGGTGGCGGGTTTTAACGACACATTTATATATTTACGCGATCTAACGCAAAATATGATAGAAACTGTTATCTCTGTTTACCGTATGGTGTATCAGTGTAATAGAATGTGCCAGAGGGTGGTCTGTTTTACATTGCACTGCGTTCACAGCTAACAAACCTTTGGCTCATGCACACCTGTGTCAACACCAACACTCTTTTTTCCACAACACATTCGCACGGTAATAGACCAAACAATTTGGGTCTCGTCAGCAATTTGCATGGCATTCAAATAAAGCTCACAAAAAACATTTTGCTACGAATTATACAAAGCAAAATTACTGTTGTACTTTTCATGGTTATAGATATTTTAAGAAACATGCACACGCACAGAGTAACGAGTACTTCGATATCTTAATGCAGGATAGAGGCCTGCTAATTACTGTGCTGGTACGTTAAGTTACTCATGCCAGGTTGGTTTTATCTGCACTTTATTTTTGCATGTGCAATGAACATGTGGCGCCTGAAGAAAATCCATATGTGCGAGAATACTCATTGCTGCATGTTTTTAGATGTATACACGGTATATATGTGTGAAACATGCTTTTTGTATTTTCTGCTGTCGTAACTTGCTCGAACCAGTCGCTCAGTATGCTACTTCCTGCATGATTAAACCAACCACCACAGTCGCTCGGAGGCAATTCACAACTACAGGTGTGTGCAACCACGTGGGCGAGGTCCGGTTGCCACGTCTACTTCACCTCGACGCATTTCAATTTATCTACAAAAACAGCGCCATGAGGTGACGTGGGTGGTCACTGGGTTACCAGCTGAGCAAGAGGCGCCGAGGCGGTGTGAAGGCTGCAGAGTTGAATTTCTGATTACTTTACGCTGATAATAGGAACCACGAAACACAATGTGTGTGTGTTTGTGCTTTTTCATCTCACTGCATGAAGTCGTGGTGCTGCGTGTTTTTTGTTTTGGGGCCACGCTACCTTTGGCAAGCTGGTCTTGTTCACACACGGTGCGCACACAAAGTTCTTTGTTCATAACATAAACACGAACGCCCCTAAAATGTACAAGAAAATCACAGAGCAATGAATAAAGAATTAAGGACAACATATATATGTTAAAATAAACAATTGAACACAATAATCAATATCAACTAGGTACAAATAGTTCGACAAAACAGTGACATTAGAGACTCAAAGGACACAGAGGTGGAGGCCGAACCATCTGTGCCTGGCTCTAGATTCCTATTATGCTTTGCTAGGCCTTGTGGCTTTCCGTGTACTGGAATCGATTGTTTTTCGTCTGTGGGCTTAATTACAGACTTGGAGAGTGCAGTCAACTTGAAGCAAATTCGCAGTGGCAACGATCAGCACTTTGTCACATTCCATAACAAAAAAATCTAAAATAGCAATAACATTTTACATTCCTTTTGCATATTAAATTTAATATCATGTTGGACTTACAACTAGAATTTCTATCGTTGTACAGAGATGAAAAAAATGCACTGCCATCATTGACAATGCCTGACAACTGAAATATGCATTCTTCCATAGGAGAGCAGAGCATGGTGAATTTCCAGGCAATTACAAGGGCTCTAGGCAAGATATCCCTCTGGGGCACGTAACTTAAGTGCAGATTTGTGGGAGGCTAAACGCAATTGTGAAATGAACCTGCCACAGAAATGTGCAATTTACACTTCTGGTTTATAGTTGCCAAGGGAGGCGGGTACCGTCCCATGCCCGTTAGAGCGGCTACATCTCTCACTCGGGCTGCGAGCAGGGTGACGTCATCGTCGTCACCGCGCAGGTCACCCAGGTGCGTCCGATGCTTCGAACGCACCTGGGTGCAGGAAACGACCTATGATGGCACGGGGCGTAGGAGGGCAGTGGCGGGCTTGCCCGTGGCGTGCACGAAGCGAGGGGGAGCGGCACCTGTAGAAGCAGCGCGTGTGAAGGCACTCGCGGCACGGCTTCTGCACCGAGTAGAGCCGCGTGCACACGTACTGCTCCTCGCGGCAGCCTGCACACGCACACAGACCACCCGTGTAGCCTTAACCGCCTGTTGGGGCAAGTGCTGTTAGCGAGTAGCACCTATGAAGGCCGGCACGGCACACAAGGGGGTGGGTGGTCAGCACCACGCTCGGCCGCCTTTGTCTCCCTAGTGGCCATGCTTACACACTGTACCAGATACTTATTTGAGGCTGAGTCAAATCTAGGGAAGGCCCAGGATTGGTTCAGATAATCGTCACTGATGTTGGCCGTGGGCGGGAATCAAACTCACGTGACCTTGTTCGTAGTGCATTGTTCTAACCGCTACAGGCGTGCACACACACACACGTGTGTGGAGTATTCGTGAAGGTCAACTTTACACGCCATATGCCCGTGACATAGTAGACCCCCCGATTCCTCCTGGCCAATGGCCTGCTTGCTGCGGGGACGTTGGACCACAGAGAACCCAGTCTTTTATTGTGAAGAATTTGATTGCCTTTCTTTCCCTTATTAGACGGTGTAAGGCCTATACTGTAATTGGCAAAGACAAAGACAACTGAAATGCAAAGTGTATGGGAATTGCACGGCGATTATAGCTTAACCCCATTGCACTTTACCGTAACCCACATTTACGGGGATTGGACCCTGCCCTGAGAAAATGAGGTTCATTCCAACTTCACTTCAGTGTAGGGGTATTCAACTATATTTGAATTTACATCGTTTCCTTGAAATGTCAATGCATTGCGATAGATACACAAACGAGGATCAAAAACGGCGTTTCCCACCGGCTTACCTCCGAGACCCGGTTCAGTGGGCTCTGGCTCTGGAACATTCGAGGCACAACAACAGAATACTTAAATTAGGAGTCTGCACTTTTACATCTCTCAGGTTGAAGACTCATGTCTTTAGAACTGCTGTTTGTGTTTAGTTTGTTGTCCTTTCCCTACATCTCCAATTAGCACGGTTGGCTACGCACGGTGCGAAAAAGGTTCAACATACATAACCAGATATTATAAACGAGCGAACAGCCAACACTTCTCATCACAATGCTTTTCCATGCTGCCGGTCACAAGAGGTTTTCAGTCACAATTCAGCAGTTGGAATCACGCGCTGAACGTGCAGCATCTCTCTGTCCGCTGCGAAGGAGCCAATCATAAAGAATAGCCGCTGAGAAAGAGCTCGCTTCAGCATTCATTGGGTGCCGCCGAGTACTGAGGCTGTTGACCTCCACGGGCCCAGCCTTTGATTCACTATTTCACTCTCGTTCGCTTTCACAAGAGACCGCTGACGCCGATACATTGTGAGCACTACTCTTTAAGTTGCGTGAATGTGTGTGGTGCTGAGGGCACCACCGCATTACTCACACTCCTACCCTTTGGTGCTGATGGTTTATGGTTGCTTCGAGTTCTGAAAAAAAATTCTCCAAAATGTCGGAAATGCCTGTGTCTAAAATGTGAACTTCAGTTGGATTTAGCACCCCTAATAACTTCCTAAATGTACACAAATATTTTGGCCAAGGATAAATATATACAATCTAAAAGTGGGGCCCTCCATGAGATAAACAAGTTGGTGTCATATTTGGACTCTTCAAAGGCTCCAGATACAAACTTTCATAGGCTGACGTTAAAAGAGTTACAATGTAAAATCCCCCCTGCCGGCAATATCTAAAATAGAAAGCATATGCTCTAGACATGTTGTGCCAATTTAGAACATCATTCGAATGAACATCGGTGACTCGGTAGGGCTTTTGCGTTTTGTGCCTTCCGACATAGCTGATCCACACGCTCGTATCGACACAGATGGGTCACGGCGAAAGAACAAACTCCATCCACTCTCACACAGGACACATGGTGTCACCCTAACCATTCAGACGGAAGTTGAGTGAATATAACTCCTGTCGACAAACACTGAAATCATCTAAACCCAGCTAATGTGAAGAGTCTTAGTCACCACCGTCTACATGAAATAGAAAAATGCACTGCATTACCAACTGGTTTGACAGGCTGCACAGGTCTTGGGCCTGTAACACAGAAACAAACATTCAGACGTTACCTTCTGGAACTGTTGCGGCTAAGGCTGTTGTCGGACACTTCTACGGCAAACACCACATTGTCTCTCCAGTGCTTGTATCAGCACGCTGCATAATGTGGTTAACAGATGTCAGACATTTAAACATCTGTTAGGCATATTAGTGTTACCTTTGCTGAACAGCAGCAGCAGCAGTAGTTTAGTAAAACCAAATTATCATCATAAAAAATACTGCACATCTAATATGCAATAGAAATACCAATTATGTTTATTGAATCATGCAAAACATTACAATGAAGCCATGGGCACAGAGGCTTTCCTATTTTGTTCCTGAATCAGTTGTTTGGAGAGGATTTCGCACGGCCTCATCAGCAAGCGGTGGCCCTGCTGATCTCACCGTGGCCAATCTCTCTCAGATGTTGGCTAAGGGCCGTTTCGCAATCGCCTGGCACCGCTACTATTTCCTTCGTGGTAGTGTGCTCAACTTTATTGTAGTCCAGCACTGCATACTGCACGGGTTTTGATCGACCGAACCTTGCTGAGAAATACACCCAGGGTTTGGTCTGTGGGAAAGGTGGCAGCTCTACCCCATGTCTGGTTATATTAAGCGGAAAGCAAGCGTTTGATAGCGCACTGGAAGAGGCTCTTTTAGATGTTCCACCAGCGGGAAGGTCGGAGCCATTGACGCACGGAACGTGTGCATTGCCGCTCATACGGATGCACAATTACATTTCAAAGCTGTGGTGAAATTATTTGACGGCAGCGCGAGCTCTCACCATAGACTTTCAATGAATCCGTCGGTGTGACATCTGTCAGGGTGGAAAATGCACAGATTTAACTTTAAAAAATTCACTCAAGATCCATAATATATACTGCACTGCACCGTACATTCATCAAGATGTATTGGTAATTTTAAGAAATAATGTCGCTATTTTGTGCAGCGTTGGCAGGAAAAGCGCATCACGAGAAGGAATATGACGGCCGACGGTCGAGACTGATGATGGAGTGGCAAATGTAGAATGCAACAACAAAGACAAAGATCCCCTGTATCGCCTTATTAGACTGTCGGGGCAAGTGCTGTTAGTGAGTAGCACTTGTGAAGGCCGGCACGGCACACGAGGGGGTGGGTGGCCAGCAACGCGCCCGACCACCTTTGTCTTCCGAGTGACGATGTTTACACATCGTACCAGGTACTCATTTGAAGCCGAGTCGACTTAGGGGAGGCCCAGGATCGGTTCAGATAATCGTCACTGGTGATGGCCGTGAGCGGGTATCGAACTCGGGTAGCTAGGTGAGTAGCGAAGTGCGCTAACCGCGACACCACCGATGCAACAACGCAGCTGGGAGGATGCCCACCACAGAGAGGAAGTATGACGTGGTGTGCAGGTGCCAGATGAGAGATGGTGACGGCTTTGGGAAGACACCACGAGCAGTGGTTGGGTCATGGATGATGATAAGGATGATGATGATGATGAAAATCGTTTCGTGTGGCATTCAGACTGCAGGAAAAAAATTGACAGCCATACTGACTCGGTGACCACGTGACCACGAACAGGTCGGCGAGTAAAGTGGTAATGTTCATAAACAATATAAAAACGTACATGTAGGTAGGTAAACAATAACAATGTTTTAGGGTCTAAATCACATATTGATGACATGAGGTGTTTACATTATTCGTGTTTTTGTTGTTATCTGGGCCATCTCCCCCCCACCTCCCCCGTTATCCAAGACAAGTTAGAGTGGTTTGTACAGACGTCGATAATAATAACCAGGGTCCCATTCAAGTCGACATCTGTGAAGAAGAGCTTCGCAGCCCATTACTTCCTCATCTATTTCATTCACCTCATCCTCACCATGACATGCATCTGTAGTGCCATTGCTCATTCTCTGTCAAGGCGCCTTCGCCAAGGCCTTGGTCAAGGCGCTACATACATTACGTGAAGATGATAAGAAAGCTCATCCCATTTCTCTAGGATAAATAGAGATTATGATACATATTTTGAAATGCTAGCCCTCTGAGTTGCCAGCCACCACGCTCACGAGTGATAGTTTCCGTCGAGGGAGATGTTTGTGTTTAAAGAGCCCTACGTTCATCCGCCTTACCTTGACCAGCCGGGAGTATCACAACAGGCGGTTCAGCTGGAGAGGGAGTCTGATAGCCTTCTGTCAATGCACGTGTGTCCACGTAACAAGTGCTTGATTATTCCAGCTTTAAGTTAACGGGAACAATATGTAACATCGGGTTTGGAAACCCCCTGAGCCTTCCAGCCAAGCCCTGGCACGTTGCCCTCTAAACTGTCTGCCAGCTGCACAGCTGCACAGCTGTGCCTGGCAATGCGTTGCATGTTCGACTTCTTGTTTTGATTCGAATATTTCTGACCGTGTTTATGCATTCGAATTGCTGTACAACTTAAAATGGCCACGGAAAAATATCGCGGTCAAATATCACAACAAAATACAACATTTTCAAACAGAAAATCTCTTTTTACATTTAACTTTGCTCCATGTCCTACTTTCGACCGTCCGCCAGGTTGTCACGCAGTGTCATCATCTCATGTTGTGGAAATTTAACTTTTCATGACCGAAGTAAAAAAGAAACCCTACGTATTTCTATTATTTTTGTAGTTATTTTGACACTTGTCTAAGAACATAAACTCCGTGCACGGGAGAATCTGGTCTCAACAAAGTGCCTGCCTGCAATGGAGCCCTGGGTGCCGGTCGTGCGAAGTGCCCCGAGACTGGCGCTAGCCGTCTTCCGTGACCAACAAGGCCAAACGCAAGACGCCGACATATCAACCCAACACACCGAGGCCTAAAGATAAACAATACGCCGATGGCTTCCCGCTCATCGTGCTGGTGAAACTTTAAATCGCATTTTGGGAGTTCCAAATTGAGGTATGGAAGCAATGCATCTGCACAGGATCTCCCAAACTTCAACGCAGACCCTTCATCCCCTGTCGCTTCCCCGGGCGTCTGTCGGTTCCCTTCCTCTTTACTGCACACCGGGGGCCTGAGAGTACCTGCACCTGCGTTCGAGCCCCGGTGTATTTGCTACATCTCTGTTATTGTTATTATTCTACCACTTCGCGCAACATGGGCACAAAGCATACGCAGGTTTTTGCTGCTATTCCCTTGAGTCGGACCCCACGTGTGAAATGTCAACTTGTTTGTGTCGTGCACAATATTACTTAGGGAATGTCCTAAAACATGAATAAGCGGTGTTACCTGGATATTCGTAGTCATAGTATGCGCCTCCTTGCCCAGCTGTTGACAAAATACAAACAGAAACCGTTATGGCTGTGGGACACCAATGCCACGAAGACACATCACACACACACACATCACACACACATCACACACACAACACACACATCACACACATCACACACACACACATCTCACACACACACATTACACATCACACACATCAGACACACATCAGACACACATCAGACACACACATCACACACAAACATTCACACACACATCACACACACATCACACACACATCACACACACATTACACACACACATTCACACACACACATATCACACACACATTACACATCACACACACATCACATCAAACACACACTTGCACACAGCGTCAGTTCCAAAACTAAACTAAATTATTTAGTATTTTATCAGTTAAAGCCCCTGAGCTATATATCTCTTTTTCAGACGCGACCTGGCCACAAATGATAACCCGACGAAGTGGCTTATCAAGTGGACATTTCTAGCAGCCAAATACTCTAAATGCACGTTTCTAGATGTGGAGGGAAAACCCGGACGACCCGGTGAAGAATCCACTCGACCACGTGGAGAACATGCACACTACGATTATACAGCAGGCGTCAGGGTCGGGATCGAACCCACTACAGTACCTCCTGTAAGATTGTACAGTGCAAATGTGACTAAAATTTGCATTGGTTTATGTATATATGTATTCCCTGCAATGTATAGAGCAGTAATTCCTCCCTTAAAGCATTTCTACTTAATGTGGCACTTTTCCGGAACACGTCTTCCGCATCCAACGAGGATATGTACAATATACCGTTTGAACTTTACGCACAGTGCCATGCGCACTAAGCGCATATGTTTACGTTTGTGTATCGTCCACGCCGAGAGGTCAGAGGCCTCCTGAGCGGTGACGGCGCAGCACTCGTGGGATCACTCACGTGGCGTGTCGAACGGTGGGAAGACGTTGCCATTCCGGTCTCCCTCCCCGTACTGCGGATATTGCGCTGCGCACAGCCCTACGCGTGACATCAGGAAGGAGACATCGAAAGGCGAGTTCATTTACCAGCAGCGTGTGCTCTGCGGGTTGCCGGTAACGTCGGCGAGTCGCGTCAGATGATAAGCGCAGCTGGCTGCGGTCCGGGTCGTTAAACCGACTGCCAATCCCGGTCGATTGGAAAAAGGTACAAAAAGGTAATGCCGCCGTGGCGCGAAATATTCTGGGAAATTAAACGTGACCTCACTGTTGACAGGTATTGCTTTTATATCTGGTAGACTGGCAATATTTGTTTAGGCCTGACTCCTAATGAGACCTAACATAATCTACTGTTTTAGAGTCATAGATGCAGAAGTTGACTTATGTATTGTATTACCCAGAATATTCCACAATATGGCTCAATTTTTCGGTAAGTTGCATAAATAGAGCCTTTTCTGCTCTTGTTAGCAGAATTATAATTGTTAAAATGTATTGAGTCATCAACTAATTAGTTGATTAGTCGCGTGTCATGCAGAATTGGATCATTAGTCGTGGGATGTGTGTAAATGGGTCCCGTGACCTCTAATGCTGGCACACTGTGGTGGTGTCATTCCAAACTCAGGTAAATGTTGATCATTTCCTGAGGAAACCAACTTACCGACAAGGGCAACAAGTAGCAGCAGCGTCACCTTAACGTTGGCCATTCTTCACAGTGTGCGACACGTAGCCTAGAGAGAAGGGCACAGAACCAGAGCTACGGTGAACACTGCGGACTGTCCAGAGGGCACGGCTCCCAACTCAAGCTTCACACTTTACGATTGCATTCATATGGTTTATCCAAAGTCCAGACAAACGTTCTTGCACAAACCTTCGTACAGACCATGTGCCAATGTTCGAGGGATTACAAAATGTTGGTCAATGTTGAACTGCAGGAGACTAGATGGCAATCTTCTTGGTTCTTTCGGTAAAGTCACGTAGAAGGGAAATAATAAAATAATAAAAATAGAACATAATAAAATACAATTCTTGCGACGTTTCGGCCACAACGCAAGCAGCCGTCCTCAAGTGAAAAATAGGTCTGTCAGAAAGACAGCGTCTGAATGAATTTCAGACGCTGTCTTGCAGTCACGAAAGCTTTAAACAGATGGCAATGTTAATATTAATAAGGTTAGAGAGCACTCTCAATATCCTACGGACTCATTTATGGGTTAACATAATAGACGGCTCCTGCCAATATTTGGCACGTGTTACACTGACACAGTGCCCACAGTATGAAGAGGCAGACCAAGTGGGATGTTGTATATTGTCCATCTCCAGAGAGTCACGGCTGTAGCGTCTCAACAAAGTTGTACGACATGATCACGGTTGTAGGCGAGACTATTGTAGGGATTTGAGACGCTTGGAACATTAGCAATAACGGGGTGAACACACATGAGGAGATGGTGCCCTGCCACTTATGTGATTCCTCGTCCTAAAATGCAGTCAACAAGGAAGCCTGAGTCACCAGAGTGTTTGTCCTTTCGTTCTGTATGACCGCGAAAACCACCAAAACCTCAACCATGTGGGCGCTGAGGCTCGGCACGGGTTTTACTGCGGTTCCATCACCAGCGGAGCAATTTATCAGCGGGGTGGTGTGTGCTAACATGCGTGCCTCACAACAACAAGGCCATATGTTTGATTTCCGACACGGGCGACTTTCTGCTCAGAGTCTGTATATTCTCCCCCTGCTCTCAGTGGACTTCCTCCGTTTTCCAGTTTCCTCCCAAAGCTTAAACAACCGCCATACATATGTAACTGGTGTTGGTCAAAAACTTACAGATTGTGAATTTTCTTTTGGCAAATTTCTCAAAGGGAATCTCGCGGAGGGACATCGCGATGCCTCTAATGCGAACACTTTGTGGGACCCTCCCTCAAAGAGTTGTGAGACGCAACGAGGCTTCCCCGAGTGAGGGTCATCAGCAAGCGTGGTTGTTTAAACAAATAAGTCCACGTCGCCAGCCAGCGCCGTGGCTCACGGCTCGCTGGGCGCTGGGTCTGGTTTCGCTCTCACGCTGGAATGTTAATCGCTACCCCAGCGAGTGCGACCATAATTCGCTGCAGATTTTTTTGTTCAAGTGGCAAACGTTTGATGTCGGCTTTAAACGCGCCCTTTCTCACACACACACACACAAAACGGGTACTTAACAAAGCAAGCTGGCTTCGTTTCGTCTTGTGGCGAAAACTCTTGGTATTGTTTTTGTTCTTCCAACATTTCAAGTCTCAACATTCGCGATCACGGGATAAGGCGCTGTGTGGCATTCACAGGCCACGTGTGGGGCTGCGAATGGCAGACGGGCACGGCGGCTACGAGTCCGACTTGCACAGCCGCGAGCCCGCGTCTCAGGACGCGATCCCGTCGAAGGGAAACCTCGTGCTCTGCATCTACGTTCGACTCGACCCGGCACCCTGGGACCGCAACACGAATCGATAAACCACGCGGTCCAGCAAGGCGCTCTGAAAATACCCGCGTTTATCATTACAAGTCTCGATTAAATAATACTAGGGTGGTTTAAATCAGGTATTACCCCCCCCCCCCCCACGAAATAATCGGTAACCACGCGAGAGAAACCAGTAAAGCGCGGTAACCGGTTTGCTGCTGAACATTTCGAAATGCCCAGTCAATTCGAAGTGCCTCGCCACATTGTGTACCCCCCGTGAAGTGCGACACGGAGGGAGCAGCCACAGCGGGACGGCGATGGCAGAGCCACTTGCAGGGCTGCCCCTTCGCCACTCCACTAACAACGCGAGCGCAAATGTACCACGCGGTCACTTAGGCCGCCGTGCCGTTAGCACATTATCGCGTAGCAATCGGTGCATTCATCTTTTTTGAACTAAAAATCCCAATGAAAAATCGATCCTGAAGTTTAAGACCGGCAATCGAATCTGAAACCTGTTATTGGATTATCGATTATCGTTCAACAAGCAGAGCATAAAGACCAAACATCGCATCTCCTGTCTTTGACATTCCTCTTCTAAGACCCCGGTAGAATCATTAACCAAATCGAAACATCAACAGGCCGATTCGCAAATCTCCTTCATGAATGGAGAATGTAAGACGCACGACTGTGGCGATGCAGCCCAAACTATGGACCCACATGGCAACCCACTGCGCTCCTTCGACGGAGGACGAACAGCAAAACGACACGAACTCTCTTGTGAAGCCCTCTCAGACCTCGCGACATCGGCGGCCAACTCCTCGCGTCTTGCTGAGACACGCGAGACGTGAGGAGGAGGAGGAGGAGAGGAGCCGCGTCTCACCTTGACGAGAGAGAGGCAGCAGCAGCAGCAGCTCTGTTGAAGCGGTGCCGCTCTGAGGGGGGAGCTGTAAGCCGCGTTGGCTCACTCCGCATGGGGGGGGGTGGCTCTGCACCCCCCTCGCTGCCCCCCCCCCCCGCTGGGCTCTGCTGCCTCCTCGTGCAGCAGGGCACGGAGCCTCCCCGCACCCCGCCCCGCCAAGTGCAGCGCCCGGCCCCGCGGCTCCTCCTCCTCCCGTTCGCAAAAACCCACCGAGGCCCCCCCCACCGAGCCCCCCCCCCACCGAGCCCCCCCCCCACCGAGCCCCCCCCACCCCCACCGAGCCCCCCCCCCCACCGAGCCCCCCCCCCCACCGAGCCCCCCCCCCCACCGAGCCCCCTCCCCGCAGCCCCTCCCCCCACCGAGCCCCCCCACCAAGTCCCCCCCCCACCGAGCCCCCCCCCTCGCAGCCCCCCCCGCAGCCCCCCCCGCAGCCCCCCCCGCAGCCCCCCCCCGCAGCCCCCCCCCGCAGCCCCCCCCCGCAGCCCCCCCCCGCAGCCCCCCTCCCGCAGCCCCCCTCCCGCAGCCCCCCCCCGCAGCCCCCCCCCGCAGCCCCCTCCGCAGCCCCCCCCGCAGCCCCCGTGCACACACACGGAGCCCTTCCCGACTCCCGAGATTCCTGGAAATCACGTGGTCCTCGTTAGCCGCGCAGCACATAGCAAAGGTAAATTGCATGGCCAGCAGAAAATAAATAACGAAAGAGTTTAAACGTTATTATTGTAACATCGGTCTCGGCATTCCTCAATAATTCACTCCTTAATAGCCTTCACGAGGAGAGATGACTGAGCTTCCCTTATCCCACGGCCATCTCATTTGTGGCTCACGCAGTTGGCTAGGGCGAGCCCGTCTGCAATTATGTCCTTGTCTCGGCATCAGCTCTTCCGATGACGAAGCAGCAGCGAGAGTGAGCTGGGGGGGGGGCACGCAGGTTTGTGCAAATACGAAACTCGTTGGACTGGGAGGGTTGGTCAGAGACATGTTGAGCACAGCAAGTAGGTCCGTGAAAATGTCCACGTCTATGCATACCTTGAGTTGTATCCCCTCGTATGTGCACTGTTTTATTTCTCCAAGTCATCCACTCCCCCCTCACGTGTCACTTATTCATGGCGTTGGCCAAACACCCCAACGCAGAGGAGTGAAACTCGGCGAAGCTTTCACGGGCACATTCAACACAAAAATAATTTTAACAAAACGTAAGAGCACACAAGGCTGGGAATCCTGCAGTAACAACGTTTAAAGGAATTCACTTTTAAATCAGCATCTCGATTGAATTTTTTTTTTAGAACTGCTTTTCATGTTTAGTTTGTTGTCCTTGCCCCACACCTCCCATGAGCACGGTTGGCTACGTGCGCCGAGAAATAAGTCCAACGTACGGACACAAAGAGGGCGTCAACTAATTATCGACTCATTCACACATCGCAGTGCAACGTTGCCAATCTCTGGATACACCTGACCAGCCTCTGGAACACGAATCTGGACTGAGATAAGTCGGAGTCCTCCTCGACGTGGATAACCGGCAATGCCGACTGTAGTCACTTTGGGTAATGTACGTAACAGAACACCCAAGCTGGCTGTATTGTTCCTGTGTGTGCAAGAGACGTGTTTACATTTTACGTGGAGGGACACATATGGGAAGGACGCGTAGCATCCATTTATTTTGTCAACATAAACAGCGTGCCAACATTGACGTAATGTAAACACCATTAACAGCAGCAATCGTGGAGCGACGTCCTGACATGGTACATGTGTGTGCACAATGACACGTGTGCCTCTTAATAGGGAGCAGTAGTGTCGTGATATTTATTGAGGCTGCATGGATAAACAATATTTCACTGGTTATGACTGATTTCATGAGTTTACAACCATGAAGTAATTTGTATGGTGTCACCGAATGATGATTTACTGCTCAACGTAACCAGTACGTGGATAACAGGAATTACTTGCGTGATGTACCTTTGTTGGACTTTCAAATATTGAGGCCAAATGATCAAAACATTGTTCAGTAATGCAATTATTTAAAAAACACTATTTGAGAATGGTTGAAACAGAGTAAATAGGGATGGTTGAAATATTTCAATATCAATATTCTTTATGAATACCATATAGCGGCTAATACTGCATTTAATACAGTTCCGTGTGACATTATTACACCAAATGTAAAGGATCATTCCAACCCTGCATAAACCTGCCGAAATATGTGCCAGGAGATTGTGGATGTCTCAAGCGACACTTTGGCACCACCTCTGTGCTCAGATGCAACAGACTAACGTCTCAGATACTCTCAAGAAACAACAGCATGCAGGCCCATCCACATCTTGAAATGCAGAAACCTCAACCTGCCAGAGTGACACTGTTTGATTCTTTCGGTAAGGTCACGTAGATAGAAAAAAATAATAACTAATAAATCACGACGTTTCGATAGCAGCACAAGCCATCGTCTTATTATTTACTAATCAACAAAACCACTACGTGTGGTGTTGGCTGTTGTGTTGGCAGACTCTCTGAGTTGCATTACATTGCTAAGTTTGCTACGTTTATTTTATCTCTAGCAACTTTTTCCCTCAAATCAAGATTGATCCGCGTCTCCGGGGAGGATTTCCACACAACTCAGACGTGACTTCAACCGAGAAGATGGATGCAAAATGTAGCAATCTTTGGAAGGACGTTGATCAACCAGGTAAAGTGTTAACTGTTGTGTTGACCGACTCTCTGAGTTGCATTATATTTCTAAGTTAGCTAAGTTTGATCTGTTTTTTATTTTCTCTCAATCAACTTTTTCCCTCTGTAAATAACACCCGCACCCTCTCACCCGTTGCGACAGCTCCCCCCTCCTCGGATTAGCCAACACTCACCGCTTGCAAATTCCATCCCTAGTCCCACCCACTTACCCTACGGACATAACCTTTGGTTGCAGCAGCTCTCTTGATACATTTCCTCCTCAGCAGTCCGCCTGCTGTTTATAATTTGTTTCACCTGAAGATGATGGCTTGTGTTGCTATCGAAACGTTGTGATTAATTAGTTTTTTTTTTATATCTACGTGACTTTACCGAAAGAACCAAAGAGTATGAATTCCTGCAGTCACGAAAGCTTCAAATCAAGACTGCCAGAGTTCCTTTAGGAGCAGCAGCAGCCTTGTGGCCATGTATACACTCTCACAATCACAAACCACCAGTGGACGTGCCAGAGCATTTCCATCAGCAGAACATCCTGGACCCCTTCAGAAGCAGGGGCAACATCACCTACACCTGCCAGAGAGGCTCTGGCAGTCGATGATCTAAAATCAACATGGCGCCGCGATGGCGAGACGCTAACTACCTTCGCTTGGTATACAGGAGACCGTGGGTTGGATCCCCAGCCTGACGCCTGCTGTATGTCTGGAGTTTGCATGTTCTCCCTGTGGTCGTGTGGATTTTTATCTGGGTCCTCCAGTTTTTTCCCTCCGCATAGAGAAACATGCGTTTAGAGTATTTGGCTGCTATAAATTTCCACGTGATAAGCCACTTCGTTGAGCTACCATTTGTGGCCAGGTCGCTTCTGAGAAAGTTCTTTATAGCTCAGTGGGCCTTACCTGGTAAAATAAAAAAACACATTCCTGCGGAGGGAATTGGTAGGAACGTTGGGTTGCTCGGTCAATGGCAAGGGTTAACAGCGGCGTGGTGTATTCTGCAAATATGCCCGACTGTGAGGACGAGCACAAGCCGGCGTGAGTAGGTTAAACGTTGAGATTTTATAAGGGCACCACGGGGTGACCAACCCCTTCCCACCCAGCCCCACCCTCCCCTCCCCAACCCAGCCCCACCCTCCCCACCCAGCCCCTCCCCTCCCTCCCCTCCCCACCCAGCCCCTCCCCACCCAGCCCTTCCCTGCACGATGGACGGACACAATAATCCCCTGTGGGCTGGTGTAACCAGGAGGTTCCTACCAGTAAAAATAGTTTAGTTTAGTCGACATCTTCAGATGCAGCAGCCTCAAGTGACCTCTCTAGAGCGGTGGGCCCCAACCTGTCTCGGCCCGCCGACCTCTGTCATCCATCAACGGAATGTTGCACTCACCATTGGGGTGTCACCAACCGTCCTCTAGGCGGAACGCAATGTCCGTGATTCGATTAATGAGCAAATAATTCGCCACTCAAGTGAGCACATGGCGGTGATGTGTTAATTCGCCCAGTAGAGAGCAGCATTCACTTTGCCACTGCTATTTAAAAGGCAAGTGCAGAGTGTTTGTTATCAATACGTTTGATAAATTAATACAGCCAGCGCATGGATGTCTAGTTATTGTATCGGTTCCCGATATTTCTCAGTTTTCAGATCAAATTATTTGGGCTCCTGTTGAGACTGTGGTGTTTGAATTTGGGTAGATGCATTTTGGTTTTGTGGGTTTTCGTTTCGGCTTCTGGTGTTTCTGCTTTTGTTTATTTCGTCCTCTGTTAGCTCTGGGTGTCTGGCCTGAGCTTCGAGAGTTTTTCTTCTACACAACATTCCCTGCTCTAGTTGCTTGCATCTCAGTTACTCGAAGTATTTTTTCAGGTTTCTGAAGTTCAGGAGCCCCTCTATGATGCATACAAACTATCTAAAAGGTTGGATTAAAAAATATGTTAATTCTTGCTAATAAACAATAAATGGACATTTGATACAAAATGGACAACTGAATCAAATTCTGAAGTCAAAATAGAAATCATTAGTGCCCATTTTGAAAAACGGGCAACATTTTTCTCTGAAAAGATACAAAGTTGTGAAATCTCTTGCAAGGTCCATGCTGATGTAGAGGAGTAGAAGAGAGTAGTGGCGTCATGTGCGCGGTCCGGTGCGATTGCGTCACGGGACGTGGGATCATGCGCGCTGGACGGCGCACATGATGACACAGCTCCTCGAGGATAAAGGGGGGACCCCGTGACGTAAGCGGGGTCGTAGCTGGAGAGTAGTAGGGTCGAAGTAGGGTGGAACGGGGGGAGCCAGGGGCAAGAGGGTAGGGGTAGGGGATAGCACAGCGCCAGGGCTGGGCGTGGCTGTGCTCCTCGGTCGGCCGTGTTGGCTGATCCCACGGCCGGCGCAGAGGAGACGGCACGGGGCAGCCGGCTGT